AGCACGGAACATTTTTCGTTTTTCTGAACTTAAAATCGTTCAGTCGAAGTATAGGAAACCTTTTAGGTTCGGTAAAACTCCTTATTTTTTTTGAGTGTAAGATGTAAGACAATCAATTTAGTTTGTCAACATTTTCTGTTATGAAAAAGAGTAAATTTTTAAGAATAATTAATAAATGTCATCGTTCGAGTCAATACTAATTTGTTGTGGTCTTGATAAACAAAGGAAAATCGTTTAAAGTAACATTGATATTGTAACGTTGTCCACCTTCATAAATTTGTTTAGTATAATAATGTTGCCAAGTTGCATTTTGTTGAGAGAGTTTTGGTAAATAAACCGAACGTGATGTAGCTTGATAGATATAAACAGGAGCAACTAAATAATCAGTTCCAAACATGTATTGATCTTCGGCTGTATAACATTCCATATCAGTAAAATCATAAAACATTGGTCGTAGAATTGGTGTTCCATTTTGATGTGAAATATTCAAATGATATTCAATATAAACACGTAGTGATTCACGAAGTTTAATAACATCAATAATTTGAGAACTATATTTAAATAACCAAACTTCATTATGACCATTACCGAAGCCACATTCATTGTCAGGTACAGATGGGCGACGATCACCATGTAGACGAAAGATTGGACAAAATGCACCAAATTGAAACCATCGTACTAATAATTCTTCAAATTGATCATCACCTAAAACTCCACCTCTATATCCACCTATATCGCTGGTCCACCAATAGATGCCTGACAATGCCACATTCTGTGCTACTTTGATCTGTTTTAGTAATTCTACAAATGTTGACTCGATATCACCCGACCAAACAGCAATACCCATTCTGTGACTACCAATCCATGCTGATCGACTAAGCATAATCATGTCTTGTTCTCCTTGTTCTTTAAATCCCTCATAGAATGTTCGATGATGTTCTCGAGGCCATGCCATAGCAATTTCTTCATCGTGTCGATTATACCACCATTGTAGACCAGGTTTACTTCCTTCGGGTTCAGCAGCATCTAACCAATAAATTTTAATTCCATAATTAAAATAATTTGTTTTTATTTTTTCCCAGAAATATTGTCGTGTTGCAGGATTAAATTCATCAAGAATATAAAGATTGTCTGCTCTTGCTATATCACTTCCATTAGCATCGTGAGTTAATAAGCCAGCTGCTTTCATTGGAAGAAAATTTTCCGAATTATCTTCTACAACGGGCCATACAGATATCATTGCTTTCATTCCATATGAAACCAATTGATCCATCATTTGGGAAACATTTGGCCAACATTTAGGATTAAAATTCCAATCGCCAAATGCTATCCAATGAAACCAATCAATATGAATAACACTCACAGGAATTTGACGATCATGATAACCTTTAGCAACTTCTAATAATTCGTCTTGAGACCGATAACGATTTTTACTTTGCCAAAAACCCGAAGCAAACTTCGGTAATGGATTAGGACGACCGACAGCATCGACAAAATTCTTCATAAGAGGGGCATAGAATGGCGCTGAAAGTGATGCTTCTTTCGGTATTGTTGTTATCCATAAATCAAGTTGATGTGTTGCCTTTGCAGTCCACATAATTTGAGTATCATTTTGAACATCAAAGGAACCATAACCTGGTAGATTCCAAAGAAATCCAAAGCCTGATGAATGAACATACCATGGAATGGTAATATCACCATTGGAGGGTGCAGTGGACGAAAACTCGAATGGTAAATTGAAATAATGATACGGTAATGTTACGTTTTGAGCATAACGATGTTCTCCTAGACCATATAGATAACCACTTTGTGAATGAATATAACTGAACGATAAATTATATAGACTGTAAACGGGTGAATAGACAGATGGTGGATAGATATATGGCATAAATTCAGTAGATTGAACTTGCAAAAGTGTGAGTCCATCCGATAAACGTTGAAGTGACCATGTTTGATTATCATCATTGATAGTAAATTGAAGATTACCATTGCTAAATGTTTTTTCATTCAGTTGTCGACAATCGCCACTACCTAAATTTGGTTTATCTGGAAGTAAAGCTTGATAATCTGGAGTTTGCAAAACCACATCTGGACTAAGACGAATTCGAATACTATCTGCACCCCAAGATTCCACTTGCAATTGTTGTTTGACACCATTTAAATGAATATTTCTTGTGAATATACACAGGGATGCATCATTCAGTATGATCAGTTGAAAAAGAAGCAAAAGAATTAACATTCTTTTTTTAACTTACCTTGATTTAGTCTTTTCTTCGCATTCTTTTCTTTCGTTTATATACATAGAGATCGTATCCTTTTGTTGACAAACCCAAAAAGATAATAAAAACAGTGTGTATATGTGGTAATCAGAGATTGGTTACTTTAGTAAAGTATTTGGTACTTTCGTACTTTTTACCTAAAAATCTTCAGTGTATTCCACTTATGTAGAGCTATACTTACTACCGGTACTAAGTCGAAATATATTTCAAACGGATAATTCTTTTGATAAAATGTCTCCAAACGCTCGATTATCGATTTTCAATGATATTTCCATAGATTGTGTTTGCGATATGCATCGACTAACATGAATGAACGCAGCAGCATAATCTTTTGGATTTTTGAAAGAATATCCGCCGTCGAAGTTATTCTCACGATAAAGTGAAAGCTTATTTTCTGTTCGACAAAATACGCAGATATTGCTTCATCATGCTCTTAAGAAAATGTGAATCAAGAAAGAAGTAAAAGCTTTCAGCGCAATCCCTAACGGGATTAAAAAATGTGAAACACGATCCACCTGGAGAAACTTTAAGCACATATACTGGCCAATTTATTTCGCAGTCTGCATTCCTATTCATTTAAACTTATGCTGTTGAAAATAACATATGACTACCAATAGCGATGTCCGCTGCTTTTTAAGAAATTTTTCCTTCATCAGTCGCAAATATGTGAGACAATGATACACAGTTTATTTGGATTTTCTCCTAACAAGGTCTCACTCTTCATTTTTTAGGTGCACGTCTTTACAGAAAACAGTGAATTATGGTCAAGCATAGTAACAACTCCAGGACAGACGGGTTATAGGTTACATGCGTGCCAAAAAGCAGACGGCACCAATAAGTCCCATTAGACTCCGTAATGATCTAGGGGATAAGGATTAGCGGGCGGAAAATCTCTGTCTTCCAAAACTCTTTAATATCTTTCTGCGAGTACTGTCTTACAAAAAGAAAGGAACAGTTCACTTAATAGCAAATACTTCCGCTGTAGATGTTTCTACTGCAAATAGACTATTAAACCTATGAACCTTAACTAGTAGTAGTTTGCATTCTATGACCTTTACTCTCTATATAAGGTAGAGTATTACAGCGCACCTGTATGTAGTTAACCGCTTATGCCTAATGACCTTTGAATCTTTTGGTCGAAGTATGAATTTCGTAACGGTCTGTGGGTGGACGGGGAGGGGTGGTTAAAATTTTTGCCCTTAAAAACTTCAACGCTCTCCTTCGTATCGTGTTTCACAAAAGAAAAGTAAGGAAAAATACTACTAATTGTCCAAAAACGTAGGCGCACATATTTTTGAATCTATTTGTTTTAGTGATAATACATAGGCAAAACATACTGTAATATCCAGCTAAGCCTTTATATGAGCGACACTTGAGCTGTTGTTCGAGGAAGATGAATAAAAAGACACCATGGAAAAGGAGCACTGGAAACATCGACCTCCATATCATCTTGCTCTTTAGTATTTTCATTGATCATAGTTAAGCGGTGTTCATCACAATTCAATTCGAGTACATAAACATCACCACATCGATACATATGATTTCGTTGAAATTCGCGAGGTGTTCCATTGAAGATACAAAATGTGTTTCCCCAACCATATGTAGCTGGACTGCTATCATAGCGACCTGCAGCACAATCATCCGGTACAGGTGGTATACTTCGCGACCGAATGCCTAAGAACGCATTGCCATTATCTATTCTTACTCGAATGCGATGAATGCCTGTTGAATACGAATGAACTCCAACTGCACATGCACATAACATAGGTTTGATATTCTTGAATGTTCGTTCATTGTTCAATAAATGCACTGCCCCCTGATCAGGTGTATATATTTGTGTGAATTTTTCATCATTTACTGTGTTCACCAAGTCATAATTTGTTGACAACGGATTAGAAATCATATTATTTCTTATGTGTTTCTACTCGGCTTGACGCTCTAAAATAGTAAAACATCTCCTGGATAGATTCGCGAGAAAACAAGTAACGCAAGTCGGAGCTGGCTCACTTAATCATCGACTGAATAAGACACTGATTTTGTCGTCTCCATTAGTGCTGAGAAAAACTGATTTGACAACTTAATATGAACAGTTTATACAAAGAAGTGACTTAAAGCTTTTTTACACTATATACAGGGTGGTAAATAATCTTATTCAAGGGGGTAACGTTTTAACTCTATATCGAAGATATGGTGAATTTTATACCAAACGAAAGAGTGTGAGGATGAGTTTGAAATGACGATGGAAAGGAATCCAACTAAAATAATCATTTCATGTGTCCACAAAAACATACAAGACATTTCAGTAGTATACATGTACAACTCGAAACTTGAATTCGAGTATTAGTTCGAGTATTCGAGTATTCCATTATTATACTTGAATAGTTGAACTTTTCAATTATTCGAGTGTCCCAGTATTCGGTTTTTGGGTACAAGCGCTCAGAAGGCCTTCGGCCCTCTTCGCTATCTATGGGGTTGCCGTCTCATATAAGTCAGATGCACAGGATGCTACTAGGCAGCACGTGGTATGTTATTTCCGCAACAAAGTAGATGTCAAGCCTCGTCTGAGTCAAAGGACGTGTCGACGGATACTTCCCGATGACAGCTAATACAAGCACTAAACGCATAGCGAGCAAAGGAACGTTTTTCTCCACACACATATATATGAACGAAGAACACAGCGAAATGCAGCGCCCCTATCCATCGGGCATTAGTGATTCTGTTACCACACTTTCTTATACTCAATTTAACACAAAGCCAACTTTGCATGTATAATGTTCCCAATAGCTATGCTCAATATTTTCGCCTTCGCTTTCCCACAGAAACCAGGCAACTCATCGCTACTTACGCGATAACCCTTCAACACCTTCGCTTTCCCACAGAAACCAGGCAACTCATCGCTACTTACGCGATAACCCTTCAACACCTTCTCCCACACCTTCACAGAGATGATACCGCGCATCACCCACACCCGTCCAACACCCTCCCCTGCACCCTCAGAACACTGGAATAATTCAATACTCGAATTCAAGTTTCGAGTTGTACATGTATGATCGGATTCTACAAGATCCTCCTTAATCCTCTTAGAGTCGCATAGACCTTATTGGCTTTTTATGGATCTCCGTAGATGCTGTTGGATTCTGATGCATCTAGAGGAAGAAAAAAGTACGCTCCTAGAATTTAATAATATCCTGCAGAACTCAATAGAATCCATTCGGATCCAGAGGATCTGAGCATTCAGGGACCGACTTTTCGTTTGTTGTTTTATAATATGTCAGATCCTTTCGAATTCTAGAATCTGGTAGGATTCGCTTTTACTTCCTTGACCAAGTTTGAATCGTTCACACGTTCGGTTGTCGTCTGAAAGTTGAATTGTATTTTCAATGCCCATATAGATTTCTCCAAATCTTTCATCGATGACTGTATTCTCCATAGTAAATTTTGTCAACCGTTTGCGGGAGAGCGTTACTTTTTAGTGTCTTGCTGTATTAAGTATGTTATAGTAGTGAAATATTTTTTCTTCCTTCGCACTTTACATGCTCTCAATAGCTTGCTGACTGTGTCTCGTGTTCGCTTGTTTCTTCATTCAATAGAAACTAAAATGAATAACACTGTCGTTTTCTTTTCTTTTCAACGATGAAACACGCACAAACGACGGCGTGTTGGCATTTTTGTTTCTTTGCCTTTCTATTTCATAGTCACAAACAAAATAAGTTCACAGTCATTCCTCCTTCTAACTTCACCGTCATCGGATGTATACTCACTATTTCTTTCTGTTTCGCAAACAAATTTATCTTCGAACACATGCACTTCTTTGATGATAAAGCGGGATAACTTAGCTAAAAACACACCAAAAAACTATTTCAAAGAAGAAAGAAGAAAGAGAAGTAAGCTACTTTCTCGAGTATGAAATTAACTAAACTCTTGTTCTACTTGTGAAAGAAAGAAAATACTCGCTCAAAAAATACTAATTCTAAGCGATAAATTGAATTCATTGATGTTAATGACTATTATAAGACGGAGAATAAGACAATGATATTTTTTCTTGTTGTAGAGTTTGTAGACCGATTTTTGTTAAGTCGTAACTTACCATCATCAGAACGTTACAAAAGTATAGATAACTTAGAAAATAAGAAGAACACGCACAGTTTATCTCACTCTTGGGTTAAAAGTGCCCAAGGTGTGTACAAACGATCAGGGGTGGACCACTTAATTTAATTTGAATTAATAAGCGGACGTTCATTAACGGTTTTCGTTACCGTTAATACTAACGGTTAACGAAACGAAAGAAAACCGACGTCCACAGAATAGCTATTGCATCACTGAATGTGAGAAACTTAGTATGAATGGGTGTATGAAATCATCATAACTAAATTAATGCAAAGTAATTTTAGCATAATCTAGTAGGTGGTTTATGGAAGTATGTTCGCTGCTTATAAAATTGATTGATTAAGTTTATTGATTTTTCGTACTGAAATCTTGCTCTCGCGTTTACATTCACAAGAAGGAGAATAGTTTCTCAGGACGATGATTCTAACAACGAGGCTCGTGTAATTTGGACAGTGATACGGTGAAAAGCTCGTAATGGCTACAAGAAAGAAGCAGAAGTCATTAGAAAATGCAACTGGTAACGTTTTGAAAAGACTGCACAATTGATTTCGTTCGTTTTCTTCGGTTACGATGATAACCGGATGGATCGTCTTGTCGATTCCTTTAAAAAAATTCCCGCGTTTAAGTTTCGTCAATCTTTGATATCCTTTTGCCGAATACTGCCATTACTTCTCAACATGTCACCATATTTACTAAATGAGATCATGAGAGCAAACTATAGACATAAATCCAATAAGAGAAATTAAATGAAAGATATTTTAACAATATCTGACTATTTTCGTATAGAAAAACATAAAGTTCGCTTACAAAAGCTATCAGAGATAGATCATTCGAACTGCTAGTCTATAAAAAGTGATTTTACCGAATCGCCAAAAAGGTTCTGTAGATGAATAATAGCTTGCAAATGTGTTAAGAGTTTCAGAAGGCGAATATAAATCTACGAATGATTTGAAGGTTCTTCCCGTGTATTTTAGAGAAGATCCTTTTCTTCTGTAAATCTGCTTGAATTTCGTAGCAGAAAAAAGATTTCGTAGAAAAATATGAAACTTTATAGGTTTGCTATTATACATATAATAGTGTCATCTGGATTTCCAGAAAAAAAGGTAATCTCAACTTTTGATCGAAGGGGAAAAAAATGTCGAAGAGTAGAAATGTCGAAAAGATTTATTTAGGCTCGAGGGTGAGAGTGTGGGTGAGGGTGAGTTTGAACATGGGATTAAAAGAATCAAATATTAGAAATCTCTCATCTATCCACAAGAATAAAGACTCGAATGTATTCAGAGTGTCCACGGCGACATGTTCAAATAAGTACAAGAAACTTATTCAAAAAGATCACAAAATCAGAGCAGGACTCGAACCCACCTCTTCCGATAACCGGTCGGCTATTTTACCAATAAAAATATCTGATTTTCTCTTCTGCTAGTTAATAACAACATGTCAAAACGGAGAATAAGACGAAATCAGATAGTTTAATTGGTAAAATAGCCGACCGGTTATCGGAAGATGCAGGTTCGAGTCCTGCTCTGATTTTGTGATTTTTTTGAATAAGTTTCTTGTACTTATTTGAACATGTCGCTGTGGACACTCTGAATACATTCGAGTCTTTATTCTTGTGGATAGATGAGAGATTTCTAATATTTGATTCTTTTAATCCCCATGTTCAAACTCACACCCTCACACCTTCACANGGTTCGAGTCCTGCTCTGATTTTGTGATCTTTTTGAATAAGTTTCTTGTACTTATTTGAACATGTCGCCGTGGATACTCTGAATACATTCGAGTCTTTATTCTTGTGGATAGATGAGAGATTTCTAATATTTGATTCTTTTAATCCCCATGTTCAAACTCACACCCTCACACCTTCACAAGTTCTTTAGCCGAAACGAAACTAGTTATGTCAGCTAGTAAACTCACCCACCCTAACTGAATGCTTTGAATTATTATTTTTCTTTGTAAACTCATAATTTACGTAAGAAATAACTACGTTTTATTGTTTTATTAGAAATTGTGTATATGTTGGATGTTTCGACTTTCATAACATACATATTACCAATAATTACTATGTAGTTGTTATAGTTCTGAACATACCTGACGACGAAAGGATTGAGCCCCTTTCGAAACGCGTCGTATGATTGCTTTGAATTATCATTTTCTTTGTAAACTCACCCTCAAGATCCAAAATTCAGAGGGATCATTATCTATGAAAGTGAGATGTTTCTTTGGTATTCTGGTTGTTTTTATATTTACAATACGCACTTATTTGACATACGATCATGGAATGAGTAACCGTATCATTCCTCGTTCGCCATTATTCTTTCATATGACTCACTGCTAATAAAACAACTTATAGGAAGAAAAATAGAACTACATGCTTCCAATAGTTTTTTTCTGTCATTTTCTTTCTATTTATAAAGTATAGAATGTGATAAAAGAGTACATTGCACGTTTTCTTAACGAGAAGGTAAGTCAATGAAATTTTTATTTTCAAAAAAGTATTCAAATATATAGACTATGAATTTTTTAGATTTTCTTACGAAATAATTAAGAAGGTTCAGAATTTCAGACAAGCTTTTTATCGCTAAGAATCTGTAAATTGGTTGATTCAACAGGCAATACACTGAATACATTTGATTTGTATAATATTTTTCTTCTATTTCTCGTTTCAATTAATAGAATTTTTCTCTCATAATCCCAGGTTATTATGGCACGGTCGGTTCCGGACGATTAGGTTCGTTTTCCGACCATTTCCTTGCCGCCGGATTCCGGCTGGAAGTTTAAACGTAGATTCCAGTCATTTCCTGACCGTTTCCTGCAAACTTCAAGCTGGAAACGGTCAGGAGCTGATCGGATATTTCCTGTGCAATTCCGGCCGGAACCGACCGTGCCATAATAACCTGGGATATTGTACGACTTATGTATTCAAAAATAAAAAACAAAATATGTAAATATTCTCTTTGATTGGTAAGTAGTCGAATTCATGTTGGTTTAATTCTTCATCATCATATTCTCAATGTGACAATGTGGTATATCAATAGGAATATGATTTGTTTGTTGAGAGTAAATCATGGGTGTTATTTTCATAGATATATCGTGTNAATTCCAATATTATTCAATGATACTTATTTAGTTTATTCAAAAGATGATATTAATCAACCGTTAATTCATCCATATATCTGTTCAAATGATATTCATTATCAAAATATATCAAATGATATAATACAGATTAGTTTTAATAATCAGAATTGTTTTCGTCCAAAGAAATTTTTAGGAACATATTATGAACCTGCATTTCCATATGTTTCTCGGAAGAAATTTAATAGAATATTATATAGAATTTATCGATTTCATATAAGTTTTACTTCATTGATTATAAATTCAACATCAAAGTATTGTCAACAACCAAATATGTATCAATGTATGAATTCAATGAAATGTATTTCTGCATTTCGTTATAGAAATAAAGCATCTGACTGTCCTTATGTAGATGATGAAGATTTATCAAAAGTAGATGATCAATTCTTAAATCAACGACCCCAACATGAACTTTATAAATGTCAAATGTTGAATAAGTCTATTTTAATGAGAGAATTTAATGATAATTTTGGACATTGTAAGATTGATCGATATCTTTATTTAGAAGATGAACAATTCTCTGGATTTGAAAAACATATTATATCATTTCAAAATTTATGTGATGGATATACTGAAGTACATTTCACACTTTCAGATGATCAAATTTTAACAGATGAAAGTGAATGTGAACATTGGGAATGTAATAATTATTATACAGTTTGTGATGGAATATGGAATTGTCCGGATGGTCAAGATGAAACTGGTTGTCCATCAGATTCCGAATTTCAATGCCCATTAAATTACCATGCATGTATTTCAATTCATACAAAACAATTAATATGTTTACATATTGACAAATTGAACGATGGTCAAATTGATTGTGTGAATGATTTTGACGAACACAATTCATGTCTTTTACAACATGAAAATATGTATTGTGATAGTTTATCTCAGGATGGGTGTCTCATTGATTTATGTGAATGTCATAAAGATACAAATCTTCTAAATGGAAAGAGTTTTTATAGACCAACTAGAAATTGTACAGTAATTATTAATGATCACGAAGTAGGTTCTGTTTCGAATTTTTGTATGGGTACAATGTGGTATTGTTCGGAAAAGACGCTAAAATATTTTTCAATGAATACAATTAATAATCAAGCGACAATTTCAAGAAAAAATCTTAAATATCAAATGACTGATGATATTATAACAAATATTCCAGTTGAATCAAAATATAATTGTCATCGTGGATTCGTTATTGATATTTTAACAAATAAAAAAACATGTCTTTGTTCACCAAGCTATTATGGTTCACAATGTCAATATCAAAGTCAACGTATTCATCTTTCAATTCAATATCAAGCATTATCAGATTCCTGGCAAACATTATTTGTTATTAGTATATCACTTATTGATGATACAATTGAAAGAAATATTCATTCAAACGAACTATATAATTATTTATCAATTAAAGATTGTCGAACAAAATTTGAAAATTATCTTTTATACTCAAATAAAACATATGATCCAATGAAAAAATATTTTATTCATATTGATATTTATGAAAAATATTCTCGCGAATATCGTACAAGTTTATTATATCCATTGATATTTACATTTTTACCTGTTTATCGTTTATCAATTCTTGTAGAAATTCCAAGTCAAAATCAAAATGATGGCAAATGTTCGTTAAATTCTTGTCAAAATGGTAAATGTATGAAATATTCAAATATGAATGAATATTTTTGTCAATGTAATCAAGGATGGTCGGGAAAATTTTGTCAAATAAAACATAATTGTTCATGTTCATCTGATTCATTATGTCTTGGAAAAACTTTATTAAATCAATCAATTTGTATTTGTCCAATGAATAAATTTGGTCCTCGATGTTTTCTTATTGATTCAATATGTTTGAAAGAAAATAATCCATGTGAAAATAATGGTCAATGTATTGAAATCAATGATGATTCATTCTTTGAACATAAATTTCAATGTATTTGTTCGAAAGGTTATCATGGAAATCGATGTGAACTCAGAGATACTTATCATTTAAGTATATCATTTCACAATGATATTGTTGTTTTTCAATCGATATTTATTCATTTTATTGAAATTATTCGAAAGAGAAAACCAATAAGAACGACAACAATTCAATCAATTGAAACTTTTCAACAAAAATCCTTTGAATTCTTTTGGTCTAATATGTTTCATTTGATTTTTATTGAAGATTCAAATAAAAATTATTATTTCCATTCAGCTTTAAATAATAAGAATTCATTAAGAAATTTAACAATACAAATCAATTCATTCGATCGTTGTCCATCAATAAATGAAATTTTTAATGAAACATTTGCACAATTTCATATTCTTCGTCGAATGAAATCTTATCATTTACCATGTTTAAATTCTTCATTAAATCTTTCATGTTTTTACGATGATATTCATTTCTGCTTATGTTATCAACATACAAATGGAAAACGTTTATCAAATTGTTTCGAATTTCATCATAATCAAACATTTGATTGTTCAGGTCAAAGCGTTTGTGAAAATAATGGACAATGTTTTCAAGATTCTTTACAATGTCCAACACGATCAATCTGTGCATGTCAATTATGTTATTATGGAAAACGTTGTCAATTTACAACAAGTGGATTTGGTTTATCATTAGATGCAATTCTTGGTTATCATATTATTCCAAATGTAAATATTTTTCATCAATCATCAATTACTAAATTTAGTTTAATATTATCAATTGTTTTTTTTATATTTGGATTATTAAATAGTACAATTGCATTGATTACATTTCAAAAAGCAAAAATTCGAGAAGTTGGTTGTGGATTATATTTGTTAGGAACATCAATAACAAGTTTAATCACAACAATTATGTTAGAATTCAAAGTTTTAATCTTAATTTTATCACAAATGAATTTAATTACAAATCAATCTTTTTTACGAATTCAATGTTATTCAGTTGATTTTCTTCTACGAACTTTTCTTTATCTTGATCAATGGCTAGATGCATCAATTGCTATTGAAAGAACAGTGACGGTTATTAAAGGTGTCAAATTCAATAAGAATAAAAGTAAAAAATTTGCAAAAATTATTCTTATTTGTCTTATTATAATAATAATGGGAACAACAATTCATGATCCTTTTAATCGACAATTAATTCAAGAAGAAAATGAAGATTTAAATAATTTCAAACGAACATGGTGTATTGTTCGTTATTCATCAAATTTACAAACTTATAATACAATTATAAATTCATTTCATTTTTTTCTTCCATTTTTATTAAATTTTATTTCAGTTATTATTCTTTTAATTAAATTAACATATCAACAATCAAATCTACAAAGAAAACAAATATCAAAAGAAATATTTCATCAACAATTTCAACAACATAAACATTTATTAATTTCACCAATTGTTTTAGTTATTCTTTCAATTCCACGTTTAGTTATATCATATATATCGAAATGTTTAAAATCTAATAATGATTCATGGTTATATCTTTCGGGATATTTTATTTCATTTATTCCATCAATTATAACAACTTTAATCTTTATATTACCATCCAAATTCTATAAAACTGAACTTCGAAATACGATTGTTCATTATCAAACCAAAATTCGACGACGTTTTTATCAAACAAGTTAGTACTTATCATTTGAATTCATTCACCCTTTTCTGGACGCTATAATTCTTTTTTTCATTTGATTATTTGTAATTTTCTGTAATTCTCTTGCTAATGTATCAGTTTATTTTATCTTAATAAAAGGAGCAGTGTATAAATCGTTAGGTCAATTCGAGTATTAAACTACTCCTTCGAGTTCTAGTTTTTCAGTTTAAAACTCATGGTTAAAAGTTCAATAATCGAATTGTCTTTTCGAGTTATATCTGTATTGTCAAGCGAAGCTACCACAGGATGTGAAACTCGGAGTTGATAAATCTATAAAGTTTTCACAGGGTGAGGATGATATAACTACTTTACTAGAAACTATCTATTCTTTTTGATTAAACAAAGAAGATGGTAGATGATTATAAGACATCGATTTTGATTATATGCACAGATTATTCAATTGAAAAGAATTCTTTCCTGTTTGTAATCAGCGAATCATGTGAAATTTACTGGTAGGAACACTCTTCGACCTAAACAGATATATAATTATGTTTGTTGTTAATGAGAACGTTCGAGAATTTTGCAATTAATATTCTCACGGATGAAAGAAATGTATTGTTCATTAGGATTGAGAGATTATATACATAAAATATAAATAAGTAAGATGATAATAATGATGTTATTTTGAATAAAATTCTTTCACATAAGAAGATTTTCTCTTTGGAATGAATAACTTGAGTCTTACAAAACAGTTCAAAATACTGTACGTTTCTCTAAATGAATGATATGAAGTTCACTTTGGATCGAGAAGTTGTTAATATTAAACCTCAGATATCAATTTCTTTGTCAACACGATTCTGGCTCTTTCTTTTCTCAAACATTTCGTCTGTTTTATGTTCTATTTTTGTTCTATTTCATCTTCTTCTTGATCGTACATTACGACAAGCTTTGAATAATCACATTATTATTGTTCTTCTGTGCATTGGATTAATCTACGAACTCACTACTGTTCCATTAATGCTTTATTATTTTCGTTATTTTGATCAATGGATATTAACATCATCGCATACATTTACTCGTCTGTGGACATTCGTCGATTATACCTGTTATGCAACACAAATTGTTGGTTTCGCTTGGGCATCAATTGAGCGACATATCCTTATATTTCATCAACAATGGATATCAACAAGAAGCAAATGTTTTTTTCTTCATTATCTTCCAATAGTAATAGTTCTCATCTATTGTTTTGTTTACTTTCTTATTTATATTTTATTTCCAACTTGCGAAGATATTATTGATCCATCACCATTTAATGGAGTTCCAATTCCTTGTATGTTATCACAATCGTTTCTTGGTAAATGGGATACGATTTGTCATCAAATCATTGCGACATTTATCATCATTATTTCGAGTAGTGCACTCTTATTTCGTATTTTAAGACAAAAAAGTCGATTAAATCGTGCAATTCAATGGCGAAAACAACGTAAAATGACCATTCAATTATTAACAATTTCGTTTCTCTATTTAATCTTTAATTTTCCACGAACAATCATGCAGATATGTGTGTATAGTGGATTGCAAACAGAACTCTTAATTAATATCTATTTTAACAGTATATTTCTCGCTGTCTATGTTATATTCTTCTTCCCTTTTGTTTGTTGTGGTGCGATGCCTGAATTGAACAAAAAATTAAGAAAAATATTTCTCTGCCATCGAAAAAAACTACGGATACGACCCATTTAGAATTCGAATAAGTATAATCATATTGTATGACTTATATATTCAAAAATAAAAAACAAAATATGTAAATATTCTCTTTGATTGGTAAGTAGTCGAATTCATGCTGGTTTAATTCTTCATCATCATATTCTCAATGTGACAATGTGGTATATCAATAGGAATATGATTTGTTTGTTGAGAGTAAATCATGGGTGTTATTTTCATAGATATATCGTGTCGAAGTTGCTACGAGTGTTGCAATGAACTCAAGATGGTTCACCATCGAAAGTTCATTATATCCATCATAGCAACACAATTTCTGAATCATTATTTTCGAAGTGATGACTTATGTATTGTATCGAGTAGAGAATTGTTGACAAATAAACACAGGTGGGCGATTGAACATAAATAAGAAACTTTTGTCATATTCTCTTGTGTATTACACTAAACCAAGTTCTTGAGAAATAATCGAGATCCAATTGTCATTCTACAGCTATTTGTTACAATTATTGGACTATCGTACACTCTTAATTAAAGAATGCCTAAGATATGCATTGATAACTTCATCAAGGCTCTCGATTGTTTCCTAAAGTGAAGGAATTAGCTTTTCTGCCAAACGTTGAATGATCTTCGCAGTTAAGTAAGATTTTCTCAGGAAAAATTAATAACATGAAGAAATTCGTCGATGGATTTGACAATGTATCTTCTTCATCTTCAGTAGATATCGAGAAATGATGATTCAGCGGATATTCCAGCAGAATTGAATGGTTTATCAGAGATCGACGATGATCTATGATTTCAAACAAATCTTCATTTCATTTTTTTTAGTATACTGAGTAACATTGTCCAAAAAGATCAGTGATCATTTTTTTATATTTCCGAAGTAAAAATCGTCACAATTTGATAATCCGCGTTTGTCTGTTGCGAATGATGACATTTTCTCCTACAAAGACGGAAGAGGTTAAAACTAAAATCTTCATCAACCGGGAATGAATCAGAGTGTTATATTCGTATATATATATATATATATACTCATGTTTTCACCTTCGTCTAATAATTCTTAAAAATGAAATTACGAAGAAAACCTTTTACAATTTGTCAATTTCTGATTTCAGTAACAAAATGCGAATGACAATTTTCACCATAAGAATTAGTCACAAAACTCGTTGATAATACGAGAAATAGAATCTGTCAGATTGTACAAAGTGACGCTGATTTCAGTTGACGTTAGTGATTAGGATAGATTCATGATGCACTTTATGTATTAAGCGCATTGATATTAAGAATATCCAAACATTTTCATGAATTCTTCCGATGAAAATTTATCGCATTCATAATTATCATCTCCATACAATTTTTTATTGAATGTTTCAAAAGTTCTGTCGAATTGGAAAATAGTCGATCACCATTAAGACAAATGTCATATGAAAAAAATTTTAAAAAACTTTTATTTTCAATTCCATATCTCATATTGTCGATGTTTTCTGGACGCTGATGGCTAAAATCAATATATTAAATTTCTGCATTTATTTATCATTGCGTTTTCTTAGGAAAACGATCAAATCATTAATCAGTGAACATGTTTTCGATATAATTCTCAAATCTTGCTTGACTTATTTCATGTTCTATTTCAGTTGCATCGAATTTTTTCAGATGGATCGTTGTGTATTGAACTTGATCATCTTCTTGAATATTGATCACCGAAAAGATCGTTCCAGGAAGGATAAGTACTTCTTTTTCATCTTCATATTGTGAGACACATTTGATTTTTGATGAAGAGGAAAAGAGAGCGATAGCTGTTGAACATTTCTTCACGAACTCGAATTTTATAATAACGTTAATTATTCCCGATGTCTTTCTTGGATCAATGAACATCTCTGCAACTGATGGATCGACTGATGTTGAGCAAAAAGTATTTGTTCGTATAAACGATCGCTCGGTATATAATGCACGTTTGTATTTCTTAAACTCGTTTTCTTTCATGGTTAAACCACGAAAAGAAAGTCCTTCGTAAGCGCGTTCTCCGATACTTGATAAATGAAATAAAATCGGTGCACAAAGATCATTTGTTTTGGTTGAATCCTGTGAAAAGTATGCACATATCGTTGTATGCAAGGTATAAAGTCTCAGCAGATTTTCAACATTTCTTGTTTTCTGATAACCTTCGATACATTTATATGCGCTTGAATGATCTGCAGATCTGAGTTGACAATCCTCTGCGGTGAAGCATTGTGTCAGGTGGACTTGTAGATCTTCGACCCATTTGTCAACTTTCTTTTTCTCGGGATCATTTCCAAAAAAGCGCCTTAATGCGTTAAATGCTGGAAGAGTAATTGTATTGTAATCTTCAGTGTAAACTCTATGAAGACATTCTGAGTTTATCGGTGCTTCAGAAGGATAGTAAGTAGTGTAATGTGAATCGGACGAATTTTCATTAATAAAAATTTCCATTGGATTCAGCGCAGTTTCGTCAGTACAAAATGGATTATCAGATTGCCCATGTCGAGAAAAAAACTGACGAATATCTTCTGTGGATGCAACTTGATAAGCAGTTCGACCATTTCTATCCGTTTGATGTCTATCAACTCGATGGTCATTCAGAAGAAGTCGAGCAATATTTGTATACCCATTACTACAAACCAAATGTAAAGCAGTGCTTCCATTTGGCTCCAGTATATTGATGTTTGCACCATTTGGACATGTTTCAATTAATGCTCGGACGAAATTAATGTCATTATGTCGACATGCGTTGTATATTTCACTTTCCATCATCTTCTAGAATGAAAAGCAAGTTTTTATTTAAATTGATTTTAACATTTTCGCCATTTTACGACTCGAGAGGACTCGCGTCATATATGAAGATAAAGGAATATTCCGAGTAAGAGTAACATCATTCATATGAAACGTTTTAGAGAAGTTGGTAAATAAGAAAGACTGATGTGGAGTGATACGAACAGGGAAAGCAAATAAAAAAGCTACACAATGAAAAAATACAGGCAGCAGGAGAGTAAAAAAAACGAAAAAGAGACAAACGGTTAACTAAAAAAATACTCTGGTCGACCAGTTCAGTGTTGTAATAATTACTTTGTTTCGTATACTGTTGAGAGAACGACTTTTCGAGTCTAATGGAACTATGCCTCGAGTTATTTAATGAATCATATCTTTTATTTACGATAGCACGTAAGTTATACACATTCCAAGGAAAGACGGATCGAGACGGATCAAGAAAAATGAATAGAACGATACCACTGTGAATATCGTCACGTTATCTTAAACGCGATGACTAACTATTCATATTTTTCTCCTCTATTTCGAATACGTCAAATCCCGTGATCGATATTTGTTAGTTCAGAATCAAGATGAAATCATTTCATATGTATATTGAACAGTACAAAATAAATGATGGAATCTTGTGTATGACCAAGTAAAGAAACAAGCACTTCTTGTTTTTTCGGTTAACACAATTTCTGAATAATCATTTTCGAACTGAAGACTTATGTACCGTATCGAGTAGAGGATTGTGCTCAAATGATCACACAATTGAAACGTCCAGTAAAATTCTCATAAGAAGAAATAAATATGAAAAACAATCCAGAAGAGATTCCTAGTTAGTTTCTTAAAATAAAATTTCAGTAAAAACCTATCTGAATGTTTGCTTCTTCAAATCAGACAGCTTCGTGACGGTGTGACTAAAATTCAAACAAATTTTATCTGATGTCATCTAATATAAGTCACGATATACGGCATCACTATCTACCCCCTTCAGTATTTTGTATTCTTATAAATAGTAACCTACTACTGGGTTGTGCATTCCGATAATGAGTCATGCAAAGAGCGAGAAAAGAAAATCGATTCCTCTATACCAGCTTGTTCTCTCCAAAGCTGTTTGCCATTTTCTTGATAAGCTACAAAACTTGCATCGAATTTTATGTCTCACATTGTCGATATGAGCGCCTACGAAGTTTTATGCGTTGTCTAATGAGGATGACGTTGTGTAGATAATTCACAACACCCTCATCCTCATGTTAAGTTTATCTATTTATTCATTCTTTAAGTGAGATCACATTTTGATGAAAAATGAAAATAAATGTCCGTTGTTTATTATGGTTGATACAGCTCCGCAGTATTTAAATAACCACTGCTACCCATCCCTCCGGCAATTAATATTTTTCCATTTGATAACATAGATGCTGTATGACAATATCGAGCATAGTTTGTACTATTAGTGACTGTCCAAACTCCTGTTGCTGGATCATATAACTCAGTGGTATTTAAAGCGGTTGTGCCATTATATCCACCAATAACTAATATTTTTCCATTCGATAATACAGATGCAGTATGACAATAACGAGCATAATTCATTTTACCCGTAAGTGTCCACGTTCCTACTGATGGGTCATACAATTCAACACTATCGACAGGAGCAGTACCATTGTGTCCACCAATAACTAGTACTTTTCCATTTGTTAATATCGACTCGGTATGATAATATCGACCATAATTCATTTTACCAGTGAGTGTCCATGTTCCTGTTGATGGATCGTACAATTCAGTGGTGTCCAAAGCGACACTTCCATTATATCCACTAGCAGTTAAAACACGTCCATCCGATAACAGAGTCAATGTATGTAAGCGTCTAATATAGAGCATATCACCAGTAACTGCCCATACTCCTGATGATGAATTGTACACTTCAGCACTTTTTAAATTTGTACCGCCACCATTATATCCACCGCTGACTAAGACGTTTCCATTTGCTAATATGCATGCTGTATGTGTATATCGAATGCTGTTCATAACATTAGTGATTGTCCATAGTCCTGTGGATGGGTCATATAATTCAGTTTTAGATGTATAAACGCTGCCATTGTATCCTCCGGCAGTTAATATTTTTCCATTTGTTAAGATCGATGCTGTATGTTTATATCGAGCAAAATCCAGATTACCAGTTAGTGTCCAAATTCCTGTAGATGGATCGTATAGCTCGGAGGAACTTAGAGCGGAACTACTATTTCTCCCAGCAGTCACTAAGACTTTTCCATTCGTTAGCACAAATGCGGAATGTTGAGCTCGAGCATAATTCATTGAATTGACAACTGTCGATCCTAAAAAGACAATTCCAGTAGGCTCACATTTTCTTTGAGTAGAAAATTTTTGTAACTATACCTGGTAAAGGAGTTGTCGTTGTTGTTGAGATAATCGTTGAAGAAGTAGAAACAGCAGTGTTGACTGTAGTTATCCCAATCGCTAAACACATAGATACGACTATTTACACCGTCATATAAAAGATCTATTGAATGAGAATCTTCTTTGGTTTATATTCGTACTACCTAATTTCATACTCAAAGATATACTCATATATTTACCACCTGTTCCCGATGCATTTTCATACGATGATGTTATATAAAATGTGAGTATAACAGCCAATATTATACCACCAGTGAGTCCGCCTATCAACAGACCAAACCAAAATGATGATAATGATGAAAAACAGTGTTTCTTGTTTGGAGTCTTTGAAACGGTTCTGTCATTGTCCGTACGTTTTACGAAATCTCTTTGATGAGGCAAATGAGCAGTCATGTGTGCGAGTTCAAAACTCATTCTTATTGTAACAACTTGTATTCTTTTGAGAAAAAGTGTATTCTATAATATATTCTTATTTGAGAACTCTTATTTTATACATAATAAGTTGCATTGTATGATTACAAGAAGTCTGTAAAATTTTTTTGTTATTATTGAGAAATAGCCTAGATATTATTTCGAATTCTTCTATAAGACAATCAGTTTGTTTTCTTTTAATTAAATTCGAAACGAAAAAAAATATGCAAATACAAATTATTTCATTGATTATATGTTATATTTCAACGATAATGGGTGTGACGCAAGTCTCTGCCTGCCGAATACCTTCACATTGCTATCAATTCACAATCCTTGTTGCCGAAAAGAAGGATATACCGATTATGTCAGTAAAAATACTCAAATGCGCATCCAATACAGATAAAATGAATATTTTGTTTGTGTACGATTACATGTCAGCAAATGTTTTTCTTTTCTATCCAATACAGCAGCTATCGATATATGACTATACTCTGGAGATCTTCGAAAAACGAAAAAATGTGCTTGTAACGTTATCTGAAAGATAACCTCTTTAATTTTTATGAGACAGAAAATATCCTTCTTTAGTGGAACTTTTATTTCAATGCTGACTAATTTGTTTGAAAAGTATAGTAACCAGTGAGTATCGTTAATATGTACGTATGAGTATAAAGTCATGTGTGTGTAGAAAATTTCTCATAAAAAAATGGTTGAAGAAGCATACTTTTAAATAAGAACCGATTGTCTGGCTTTGTTTTCCTGAAGTAGTCGTGCATTTATTTTACATTTTGGTTAGCAAGTATCGAAAAGTAACTCATTACTCTGATGATTTTTTCCTACGATTTTCGTCTCTTTTCTCTCCAACAAGAATTCTTGTATTATGTTTTTCTTACTATATTTCCGTGCTAAGAACCGATACGAAAGATTCTCTTACGTAGCTTTAAAATTTTACGTATATATGGGCCAAACAGGAAATTGCCCTCTCCTTATTTGACTTTACTTTTTAACAACAATGCTTCTTCTAACCAAAGTCTTTTGTCGTAAACAGATGTAAAACTGTATGCTCTTTCTGATGTCATTCAATTAAAACGGCTGGATTAATTCGTTGATTAATCAATAAGTGATTAGCATATTTCTCTCTAAATGTTTTGGCGAAAAACTCTTCAGCTTCCAGGATAACCACCACAACCCGATCTACACATATGATAAAAATTTCAGCACAGTCAGATATATAAATTTTGCCTTGAAAAAATTCCCTTCGCTCGGTCCCAGTCAAACGTTAGAACAGAAGCTTTTATTTCCTTATACTCTTAAGCAACTAATCATGTACATTATGTAACAAAATTAACCTCGGACGAGCTTCTCATAGAGAGATAGACGCATTGAGTGTACAGTATCTCATCGCTATTAAAATGATGTTGTCCATAAAGTTTTCAAATGCTAATGTCTTCCATATTGACGAGTTATAATCACGTTTGAACACTTGAGTGCTACAACAGTAGAAGATATAAGAAAAGAACGAAAAGCCTAAAAATACGCACAATCCTATGTGAATTAACGTGATTTAAAACGCCATCTAGCGAGATATATGCTATCTATAGCTAAAGAAAACAAACCATGGACTATAGATTCGAGTTTGGCTGACATCAAATTTAGTGCACTTCGCACAGCCACTTATTTATAACATTGGGGAAAATCCCAGTGAATAATAAACCATCTTGGAGGAAAAAACAGTACAGAATGGATTTATCCCGTACAAAATGATTCATTCGGTATCAACTGACAAGATATAAAGCATTGTTTTTTTTACAGACGATCATTTACAATACGACATCCAACGAAATAAACTATACCCGAACAGAGTTTGCTGTTGTGAACACAATCAAAGTACGTCGTTTCAGATATTTGTATTTCGATCATGAGTGACGCACAAATGATTACGAGGTTAGAATTTTTACCAAATGAAATATTAATTCAATGTTTTGAATATCTGAATGCATTCTATATTTTTCATGCATTTGATCAATTAAACCATCGTCTCAATCGCGTCATTCGTGGTATATCATTATGTATTGATATGGAAGAAGATATCGACAAATCGGTGTTTGATCGATTTTGCATCAAAATGTTACTAAATCCACAAATGAAAAATCAAGTACATTCATTAAGTTTACCTTCACATGGATCTGGTAGACCTAAAAATCTGCAAACCAAAACGTTTTTGTCGTTTTTCTCACTGGAAGAGTTCCAAAATCTTCAAAGATTTAAAATAAATGCAGACATAAAACCTATACCAACGGGTTTCACATCATCGTATTTTAATTCGGAAAGCAGGCTGGACTTCTGCAACGCATCGTTCCCTAAACTACGAGCATTATCAATGTCGAGATTAAATCACCCTTTAGAGGATCTTGAAATCACCAATTTATCAATTACCAACCTGCGAGTTGATTACTGTGATATGAACGATATTTATTACTTCTCAAAGTGTGCACCTATGTTAAAATATCTACATGTTAATACGTTTTCTCGTTCAAGTAACTCTTCTAAGAAGAATACGAAAGAATCTTGGCTTTTTCTGGAACGATTGATCCTCGATGATGTTCATTGTTCTTCATTGGATGCTTTTGAAGCGTTCTTGAAAGTTACACCAAATATCAAAAGTTTATCAATATCTAGTGATGAAATCGATCTAATCGATGCTGCTGAATGGGAAAGATTAATTACAATCTCATTACCACACTTAGATGTTTTCCAATTTATGTTTATCTGTAGTTGCTATCGAAACCGGGATGAGATCATTGATAAATTTCAAGCTTTTCAAACTGATTTTTGGCAAAAACAACATAATTGGTTTATTGAATATTCAGTAATAGGTGATAAAGCTCTCATTTACACAATACCTTTCGCACCAAATATGGATATACTGAAACGACATCGCGAAATCTATCGCCATAATTTCAAAGACAACGTCAACACATTTGTTAATGTCAGGAAGTTAGCGTTAGATGAAGAAATGTTAACAAACAAATGTAAAGCGTATTTTCCAAATGTTACATCTTTAGAATTACGTATGAATTTGGAATCTTTATCGATAGAGCAGACCGAACGTTTAGTGAAGATCGTTAATCCATTTCACGTGAAATTTTTAGATATCTCCCATGTAGATAATAGGAATAGTTCGTTATTGTTAAAACTATTCGATCAAATGCCACAGTTATCTGGTTTGTCTGTTGCACGAAGAGCAATAGCTGCATTTCTTAATGACGATGAATTATGCAAATATTTAAGAAAAGTTCAAAGGTTACATGTAATGGAATATGGTTGGTGGATTACCGAGGATGATTTATTCCAAAGAAATAAGTTTTATGAAGTATTTTCCAATATTAAACATTTACGATTGGAACACGGTCGCGGTATAAGATTGTTATCGTCACTAAACCGTTTACCAAAACTATCAACTTTTGAAGAAAAATGGGTAACTCAAAAGAGTCCTGAACTTTATCGCTCCCAAATGGCAAGTAAAGTCGAACAACTGAATGCAATCTATAAAATTAGTATTGAGAAAGAAGAAGAGTGGGATGACGATTCTTCCGATACTGACAGTGATCATCATTGGTATAGCTATTATGATGAAAAACGAAAGAAATACTATTATACGGTAGAAATATGCATATGGTTGGGCAACAATATGTCCTAATTATGGATTTTAATTGACACAAATCAATAATTATTGCAAGAAAAATTATCTTTTCAGCTTTTTTGTGTATTGATGTAAAGCTAGTACGACGAAACAAAGACTTACATAGAATTTAATATAAAACAGCTCTCGCCTATAAAATAAACGTATCATCATTCGATGCAAAATTAAATGTTCTATCCAATGAACTCATTTTTATGGATGGAAGTTTTCTAAAACCTTTGCCTCGTCTTGTTAACTTTACATCGATGTTATCATTCGCTGTAATAAATTGATCAGTGTGTCTTGAAAACCAGATCGTTTTTAGCTATTAGATTGTTGAAAATAAATCGATGAAATTCTTTTTTGTTCGATTTTTCTTGTTGAGTTTTGAATTAAACATTAAAACAACTGTGTTTATTAATCAAATAAACTGAACTTGATTTGAGTATTAGGGTGATAAAGTTTATGATTACAACCGATTAGTCGGAATTAGAATGAATATCTGTATGAGTAAATCCTTCAAAAGATTCAAATCTGACACTGAGATAGTCTATACTTATTGATCAATCAAATACGATTCATTTCAACCTGTGTACTGATAATGTTCTAACGAATGAATTTCAACATATTAATTTGTTCAGTATTCGTTCGTTGTACATCTACAGAATATATTTCGATGAATTAAATATATTTGTTATTAACTACTATCGCTATCGTAAGTATTCGTCAACATTACATTATGAAGTTTAATGATAATGATAAATGATCTGTGTCTCAAAAGTGTCTGATTGTTTTCAATAACGAATTCTTCACCTCAACCAATTGAATCTCACAACATGCTAAAGTCGAGAACATCGTTGTCATTCATGTGTAGACAATCCTTTGTCGATTTCTCAAATGTAAACTACTGACATATGTCAATCATAAACTAATTGAACAGTTTCCTTTTACCTTCACTTCAGATTTGTACAACATGGACATCCACACTTTGTTTCTAATGTTCCCATCACCCCATGGTATTAAGGAACAAAGGATATCCACATTTGTGAACTTTGGTAGTTCGATGTGACATTACAGTGTGCACCAATCTGTTAAGTTTTTCTTTAGATTTTTCGAAGATGTATATTTAACGAGAGAAACTGATACAAAGAATGCCGTTATCCCATAGAACATCAAGCGACAGTTTAGAGAATGCGAAGTTTTTAGATAATATTAACGTAATTTGCGATGTATTCAAATCGAAAATTTCTTTCCGCATTATATGGTCTACATATTTTTTTGTTCATGTTGGTAGTAGAAATGAAAAGGAGGATATGAAGATTATTCATGGATGAATAATACTCACACCCTCAAGATCTAACCAAAAGAACCTCTTTTTAGTCTGACACAAACCTCCAGTCTTTTGACAGATCTCGAGCATATTCAAAGCGATCTCAAGAAGAAAACAGAAAACAAAACAAAACAGCAAAACTTCCTGAAATTATATTCAGTTACGAAATCAGCTTTGTAAATACCGTTGTGTCTGCTACCGACGTTGCACAAGAAGATGTTTCTCCAGCGACTCAATCGTTGCAATCGTGTCGCACTGAAGCAGTCAAAAGCGTCAGTCAACCTGTTGTATTGGACTGGAATGATGAAGCATCTCAGTCTGAAACTTCGAAAGATAATGTACCCAAATGTCTATTGTCAACATCCTTTCCGATCGATTGTATGGCGAATAACGATACTAATATCATGTATAGTACCCGTAATACTACTCCACTTATGATTGCATACTGTTACTTGGACAACTCAAGAGCTAGCGATCCATGCCGTGACTGACATCAATCACCGATTGTTGATATGATTTATTGGAAGACTATTGGAAAATTTATATGTGCGACAAATGGAAATGTCTATACAGTTGATTATCAAAATCCTGCATTGAAAATCATGACTGCTGTTCACAGTTTCAATTTCTCTGACGTACTTGTTGCAGCGAATGATGTTAGTCTGTGGGTATGGGTCAATCCTAGAAATCATAGCAATGATGCACATCATGTTTACTCAACAGCATTTCAATTGACCCGTACGATCAAGTTTGGAGATACTATACCAACTGCATTTAGACATGGAATGACTTTTGCGTTGACAAACAGCTGTGTAGCATCGATTAACAGACGCCCAGAGAATAATGGCTATGTAGCACAGATTATCATTCTTACTCTGCATATGATTTCTATGAAGATGCAAGATCTATGTGCTTGCAACGGCTCAATACAAATTCGCAGTGACGGGATCAGCCAGTTCTTTATCACAACTGGTCAAAACTTAGTTCATTGCGTGAGAACATATGAGGAAAAAAGGAACGAATTGAACTTAAATACAATGGTAACTCTATATTGCTATACTTAACAACAAACAATTTGTTTTCAGAGATAGATCAAACGATGTCGAAATGGTACAATTTTGAAGTATTGCTGTTAAATCCGAATGAAAGACAATTATACATATTTATGTAAAAGACTATAAGAAACGTACAATATGATGAACTATTTTAAGGATAAACACATAGAAAACGACCAAAACTATAGTGACAGAAAATATGAAAAGAAGCTTTGAAAACTATTATTGGGAGAGTGTTTTTTGATTGATTCTAAATCTTTGTACTCGTCCATTTCCATAATCAGACACATACAAATTACCGTAGCTGTCGAAAGCTGCATCAGCAGGATTATACAATTGGTCTGGTGCATCTCCAATACCATTGCCTGCAGCTATGACAGTGGCAGTTTTGCTTCCTGCCAGTACACGTACAACACTATTACCACCACAGTTTGCAATGTAAAGAGTTCCAAAACAATCAAGTGAAATGCCGCGAGGTTCGCCTAGTTGATCAATTACAACTTTTCCTTCACCTGATTCATTTCTTTTCCATTCACGAACGCTACCATAATACGATGCTGCAAAAACTGTATCGATTCCATTTATTGCAACACTCCAAGCTGAAAACCATAAAGAGAAAAACATCCCGTATTTAGACATATATGAAGAGAAAACTTACGACTAATTGCGTTAGGAACTACTACTGTTCCATTTTGCTCTGCTTCTCCATTTGCAATATATTTCTTTACATAATTAGAAAAGTAGTCTGTTATATATAGATGCTCTTGTCTTGGATCTATTGCAACACTCAGTAGCCATTCAGCTCGAGCGAGAATGGTACGATTATGAAAACCTTTGGGCCAGCGAGTAAGACTTTCTTTTTCTGCTACGAACATTGTACCTTTCTTATCAATAACTAAATCTGTTGGATAATCAAGTCCATCTAACACTACTGATACATTTGTTGATCCATATTCCAGTTTGACTATTCGATAATTATAAACATCGGCAATGTATAATGTATTGTCACGATCGATAAATATTCCTTGGGGAGAACCAATCTTGTCTGATCCAACTACTGTCTCTGCTTGTTTTTGCCACGTTGCATCGATTGGCGGAAAGTCTAATGATAGAAAATTCTTTCTTTTCACATCTTACTTATTGTCACATTTGTTCATAGCACCTGTTATTTTCGAAAAAAATGAACTTTGACAATTTTATGGTGAAAGAAATAGGAAAATCTTGTTTTTTCGTTAGGTTCGTGGAATCGAATAGGAAGCCTACGCGGTAGTGTAACAGTATAGTTGAGAAATTTGCAAATGTGAGCCTAGTTAACTTTAGATCTTCATTCAAAAGAAAATAAAATGCCCATCCTTCTTACGTGAGAAATCACTCACATGCGCATGAACCGTTTTGAACGAACAGATGGATTATGACAAGTGCAAGAAGAGATGAAGTATTCATTGTTTGACGAGGAAAACTATTTCTGATGCGATATAATGAAAAAAATACTTTTAGATTTCGCGAACGTCTTGTTTTAAAGGTGCACGAACGAGATAATATCTTATTATCTCTTGTCTTTTTTTCTTTTCATACGGCTTCGCTAACAGAGACAAAAATAGGTTATTCAAAACAAGTTGGTCAAATTTCAAAACTAGGTCATACAGCAACCTATCTTCATCACAGTTATTCTAATAATCATCGCGCAGAAAGAGAGGATTTTCGATGATAGTCATATTTTGAATCTTACGTATTATATGTAACCATGTTCATCTATTTACATGTCAGTCAAAAACTAGACATACTGAAAGATAGTGACTTTTCTTGGATGATAATTTTTACTGAATCTATATACGATACATATACAGTACTAACAGATAAATTTCTGTTAGGACTCGCAATGGTAATATAAAGTGATATCTTATCTATTCATAAGAGAGCATGCGATTTGTTATCGCCATCTATGCAAACCGGCTTTGTTTCGCTCGAAGAAAAAACTTGGAATACAAAGTATACTTCGATATTGTATCTATTAGTGATTGGTACAGTCTGCAATCACATCGTGCTCCGAACTCTTTAATACTGAAAAACCATTCGAAACAATACAGACAACAAAAAATATTTGTAAGAAATGCTGCACGTAATAATTTATTCGATGGAACATTCGACAAACCATTGAAAACTATTCCAGTTGCTGTATCTCACACAGGAAATCGGTGTGTCGTGCACGGTACTAAGGTTACATTATACATTGTTAGACGTGGTGGTATTTACTCTCTCGGAGCAAATGCAGCAATAAATAGCAGCCAGATTGGCAATCTAGTCATCGAGAACTGTAGAAATGAATTTGTCAATCTCAGTAGTGAAACACTTAATTATGAGAGCTTCATTATCATCGCATGTCCAACTAAATAGTGCGATATTGTTATTTGCGTTTTTTTCAAACACTTCAAATTCAATATCTCAATTTTACAGTCAAAATTTGAAAAAAATCTACATGAAATTATCAAGATTTATTTTTCTTTTTCTTTCAAAGGACACAGAACACGACTTTTTTTAATCGTTCAGTATCGTCGATAAAAAATGAACGAAATATTGCTACCCGTGTAAAAGTAAACATGAAATATCATTGGAAAAGTTGTGAAAATTTCTCGATTTTTTTGCATTTCTTTTCGAGATTAAAACTAGATTTTGATTAATTTCTATTTTTACAGTGATCGTGGTGATAAATACCGAATGATCGACACTTGTTTTTCGAAGATCCAGTACTGTTACACGAACGATTGAGCTTCTAGAAAAACCGTTGTAAAACTATGAGGCAGTGATATTTCCCATAAAACCAATACATATTCTGAAAGCTTTTTCCTCAGACCACAAAACTCGATGCAAATAGAAAAAAAATCGATTTTCTATGAGGAGAACCTTAACAAAGTAATGTTTATTTGGCAACCAAAGTCACCACATGGGATTTCCACTATCAAAGATGAATTCTTATGATGTCATGAAACATATACAGTCGTTATTTATTGTCAAATATTTGTCTTCGAAAGTATTAACAAACTAAGAAAGAAAATGTATTTTTTGGAGAATAAGAATTCACTCAAAGTTAATTACGTCTCATTATGTACAGAATCTTGCCACAAAAAATTGATTCTATCTGTTCGAACTAGAATCCCGCTGACTCAATTTTCGTCTCAAACCGAGAAAACCATACGTGTATATAGTCCTTTATCGATACTAAGGACAACCGGTTTGATGGTGATATGTAAAAAAGTTCAAAATCGTAAAATATGCAATCTGACAAAAATCTACATATGATGTAGAAAACCATTTTCAAAGAGACTGAGCGAGCTTGCATAAAAAAAACTGAATGAACTCTTTCAGTCTCATTTCAAGTTGATCTTCTATAATGAAAAAAAAAGACGCGCGGTATCATTCAGCAATGCTTGATTATTTGATTTGAGTTTTGCTCAGCAGCGCTTTCCTAAATGAAACGTACAATAACTTCCAATATTGTTGATACATCCGCATCGTTAATGCGCAGGTAAACACTGTCATGCTGTTTATATCAAGCACGAAAAGAATCTTTGACAAGCTTGTCATGATAAGGGATGAAGGTGAGAGTGTTCAGTTCATAAAGTATGGCCAAAAGTCTTTTCGATGCGAACAATAAACAAACAACGGATACAAGCAAGATAATCAGCATCTCTCTGTTGTTCTGGTTTTTTTTTGCTTTGAATCTCGTTGTGAGATCATGTTTTTGATATATATATCGACTCTGTTATAGTTGAAAATGATCGAGTATAGATCGAAGAATTCCTTGAAAATAAAAAATATACGTTATGCATTGCTTTATAAAACTTTGACCATTCGACGCAGAGTTGTATTCTGCATGCAATGGATCCATTTTGTAATCGAGGGGATTTATTTCTGTAGATGGTTACAGACAATTCTTTCTTGTTGCGCTAGCATCACCTCGATTATTCATAATAATTCACAAAACCTCTAAGTTTATTCGTAAAAAAAACACATTTTCAACTTCGAAAACTATGAATAAAAACATGAGAAATGTGAGTTTCGCACTTTAGCCTAAAAGACGCTGCGCTGACAAGCTCCTCTCATGCCTATATGTTACAATAAAACAAAGATTAACTGTAATAATGATATAAACAAAATGAAATGTTTTTATAGCATCCATATTTAAAGGACATAAAAAGATAAAATACAATATGATATAGATCAGGATCAGCTAAATGTCTAAAGAAAGATAGACTAAACGATAAAACAAAAAAATAATTGTCTTTATTCCCTCTTTCATTTCACCCGCACATCATGTACACATAGATTTCTTCACATCATTATTTTCCTTTCTTTTTTGAATAAGCGGTAAATGTCGGTATTTCATAAGCAATGGTGGAACGTCGGTTACGGTCGACATATCTACGCCTAAAGAGTTTTCGTAAGCACGTCACAATAGCAAGAATAAGACATTTCTTGAAACCACTGATCGAATAAGATACACACTTCGTTGCGTTCCTTTTTTAGATAAAGAAGAGGTATATTCCAGTAGAGTGCAAAAATCCTTGCTCTTCATGCTGCACGTCCCTCTCTGCATGTATATGTCAGCTGTACTAATAAATTGTAATCATAGACAGGGCTTAGTTCAAGCTTGAAAACTAGCAGAAAAATTATTTTATTATATTTGTCTTTCAGTAACTCTCACCCTCATACCTAGTTATTTCAACCGATTTGATTAAATGACTTAGGATAAAATTTTGCCGAAATCACACAGTTTTGACCGTTTTTCTTCTCAACACGAGATTTTACGGGGGATTATACGGCTTTTAGAGAATTAATATCAATTTTGTGGAATGCCGATTTGACGAGTTCGTCCTTTTTTTTTAGATTAATGTACTCTTTCAATCCTCTCCACCTCATCGTTTTTAGTCAATCGAAGAAATATTTACACAATTCAGACGTAGAGCTTTCTTTGGATAGTTTTTCTGACAACATTTTAACGGTCGATCATCTTAATATTATAAATAAGATTTTCCTTCAGATTTTTGCACTCTACTGTATTTGTAGATGTCTACTTTATGCAAATTATTCTTTGTCTTCATTTTTACAATTATATTTGGACGTCTTTCTGGTAGTTATCCATCAACTTACTGTATTCGTCTTGACACGGATGTTGAAAGTGGTAATGGATCTTCAATAATCATAAACATTACTCAAAATTGGGCACCCATTGGTGCGAATCATTTGTTTGATATAATTAATTCTCAGTTCTATGCTACTCCCTCAGCTTTCTTCCGTGTTGTTCCTAAATTTGTCGTGCAATTTGGAATCAGTGGTGATCCAACACAAAATGCCATTTGGAATAAAACTATTCTTGATGGTAATCATCATATTGTATCTTTCTTTTTCTAATAATCATTATTTAGATCCTGTACTTATCTCGAATACTGTCGGCACTGTATCATATGCTACTGATGGACCTAATACTCGTACAACACAATTATTTATTAATTATCGCAATAATTCGCGTCTAGATTCACACGGCTTTGCACCTATAGGTGAGTTGATGGCGTAGATGACGCAACAAATTATTCAATGTTTTTTCTAAATTATTAGATAGGTTTAGCAAGAAATAAATATAACATTCTACTAGCCTATCGCTTTGTGTGTAAACATCATTGTACTTTCGAGTATATTTTGATAATTGTTTGTGTCGTATAATTCTTTCGAAAATCTATCATTCTTCTGCACGAGACATTCTTTTATGACTAACGACATTGTTGTATGTTTTCATAGGAATTGTCATCTCTGGTTTGGATGTTGCAAATACTATTCTTAATCCAACTCCAGGTAAAAGATCCAATTCTCAGACTGATTCGCAGTTTCCAAATGCCGAGGTTTTCTCTTTCTTCTTTCATTACACATGTTGATTTACCGGATGTAATCGATTAATATTTAATGTCTATGTTCTTTGAATAAATAGGTAATACGACTGGAATTGATCAGACGGCATATTCGACTGAAGGAAATGCTTGGATTCTTTCCAATTATTCCCAAATAAACTTTATTAAACGAGCTTCAATCACTTACAATTGTCCTCGATCGTATCAATCCAAAATAGAAGTTACTTCGTTATTTCTTCTATTTTTAAATCTATTTCTCTTCTTTTTTTAATTTAATATATTTACATTTCAACTAGGAGATATTCATTCAACGATAAACATCGACAGAACAGATTAATCTCCGTTGAAAAATAATCCGATTAGATGCGTTTCTCTTATATCAAGACAAGATGATAACTTTTGCATATTTCGACTAAGATGATTTTAAATGGGAAAGTTCGATAGATAACAATATCAAAAACACTTCGGTCAAAGAGATCGGTACAAATATTGGAATAGGATGAACTACGTTTCGTACCATCTATTCCAAACACCTGACAGTGCGTGATCGAATATCCAGAAATGATGCATATTTGGGCAGAAATGCTGTCCAGCGTTCGAAACGAAGGCCCAAATTCATGGAAAAACTAGACTGGATAGATTCAAATGCTGACACGTGGCATGAGTGCTCATTTTACAGCCCTATGTATTTTTAAAATGTTGGTAATTAGAGTTTCGCAATGAACATCCCAGCTGGAAGTCGGGAAAAACAAAGCGGTACGAAACATAATTTTCCCAAGAATATGCCGTGCCGAAGTCATATCTTTTGCTGAAGTTACAAGTTCGACATGACATAGATAACTCGGAGAGGAAATATCTTGAGAATATTCCGTCGGATATTTCCAAGAAAGAACGAAGACAAGACAAGAATGACATCTATAAAGAGGAGATATTCCATTGACATCAATATATCACTGATTATAAATACAAATAGTTTTATCTGCGTGAACAAATTATTCGTGAAGTCGGAAAAATCCCAATGGATAACAAATTATCTTGCAGGAAAAAACCAGTAAAGAATGAATCATTTTGCATATCAACTGATATTACATAAAGCATAGTTCTTTTTCGTCGTATCATTTATAATACGACATCAATCGAGATTAGCCACGACCGAAAAGATTTTTCCGCTGTAAGCGAAATCAAAGTACGCCGTTTCAGATATTTTTATCATGAGTGGTACGCAACAGATGACAACATTGGAAATATTACCAAATGAAATATTACTTCACTGTTTTGAATATCTCAATGCATTCCATATATTTCATTCATTTAATCAATTAAACCACCGTTTCAATTGTCTTATTTGTGATACACCATTGTATATTAATTTGGAAGGAGACATCAACAAATCGGTGTTTGATAGATTTTGCATCAAAATGATGCTAAATCCACAAATAAAAGATCAAGTGCATTCCTTAAAGTTACCTTCACCTCAATCGAATAATGCTGCAAGTCTGCAAGCAACGACATTTTTGTCGTTTTTTTCACTTGCAGAGCTCCAAAATCTTCAAAGATTTCAAACAACTGCATACGAAATACCTATACCAATGGATACCACTTCATCGCATTTTCGCGAACAAGACATACTAGACGTATGTATCGAATCGTTTCCTAAATTACGGGCATTATCGATGCAGAGGTTACTACGCCGTCCAAGGGATCAATTAAACCCTAATTTATCAATTACAAAGTTACGAGTTTATATTTGTAACATGGATGATATTTATGATTTCTTGAAGTGTGTACCTATGTTAAAATATTTACATATTAATGACTTTTATTTTTCAAATGACTCGTCTAATGAGAAAACAAAAGAATCTTGGCTTTACCTGGAACGACTGATTCTAGATCAGGCTAATTGTTGTTCATTTGACCGTTGTAAGGCATTTGTGAAACTCACACCAAACCTCAAAAGTTTAACAATATCTAGTGACACAAAAGATCTAATCGATGCTGCTGAATGGGAAAGATTAATTACAATCTCATTACCACACTTAGATGTTTTCCAATTTATGTTTCTTTGCTTTTACTTGAATGATGAACAGGAGATGATCATGAGTAAATTTCGAGAATTTCACACTGATTTTTGGCAAAAACGACATAATTGGTTTACTGAATATTCAGTAATAGATGATGAAGCTCTCATTTACACAATACCTTTCGCACCAAATATGGATGTGCTGGAACAACATCGCGAAATCTATCGCCATAATTTCAAAGACAACCTCAACACATTTGTTAATGTCAGGAAGCTAATGATAGATGAAGAAATGCTAAGAAACAAATGTGAAGTATATTTTCCAAATGTTATATCTTTAGAATTACATATGAATTTGGAATCTTTATCGATAGAGCAGACCGAACGTTTAGTGAAGATCGTCAATCCATTTCACGTGAAATTTTTAGATATCTCCCATGTATATAATATGAATAGTTCGTTATTGTTAAAACTATTCGATCAAATGTCACAATTATCTGGTTTGTCTGTTGAACGAAGTGTATTAGCTGAATTTCTTAATGATGGTGAATTATGCAAATATTTAAGAAAAGTTCAAAGGTTACATCTAATGGAATTTGGTTGGTGGATTACCGAGGATGATTTATTCCCAAGAAATAAGTTTTATGAAGTATTTTCCAATATTAAACATTTACGATTGGAACACGGTCGCGGTATAGGATTGTTATCTTCACTAAGTCGTTTACCAAAACTATCAACTTTTGAAGCACAATGGGTAACTCGAAAGAGTCCTGAACTTTATCGCTCCCAAATGGCAAGTAAAGTCGAACAACTAAATGCAATTCATAAAATTAGTATTGAGACAGACGAAGACTCGGATGACGATTCTTCTGATACTGACAGTGATCATGATTGGTATAGATATTATGGTGAAAAACGAAAGAAATACTATTATACGGTAGAAATATGCATATGGTTGGGCAACAATATGTCCTAATTATGGATTTTAATTGAAACAAATCAATGATTATTGCAAGAAAAATTATCTTTTCAGCTTTTTTGTGTATTAATGTAAAGTTAGTACGACGAAACAAAGACTTACATACCACTTCATGAAAAAAAAGCTCCCATCTATAAAATAAACGTATCATCATTCGATGCAGAATTAAATGCTCTATCCAATGGACTTATTTTTCTGGATGGAAGTTTCCTAAAATCCTTGCCTGGTCTTGTTAACTTTACATCGATGTTATCATTCTTTGTAATAAATTGATCAGTGCGTCTTGAAAACCATCTTGTTCTTAATTATTAGATTGTTGAAAATAAGTCGACGAAATTCTTTTTTGTTCGATTTTTCTTGTTGAGTTTTGAATTAAACATTGAAACAACTGTGTTTATTAATCAAATAAACTGAACTTGATTTGGGTGACAGAGTTTATGATTACAACCGATTAGTCGGAATTAGAATGAATATCTGTATGAATAAATCCTGCAAAAGATTCAAATCTGACACTAAGATAGTCTATACTTATTGATCAATCAAATACGACTCATTTCAACCTGTGTACTGATAATGTTCTAAAGAATGGATTTCAACATATTAATTTGCTCAGTATTCGTTCGTTGTACATCTACAGAATATATTTCGACGAATTAAATACATTTGTTATTAACTACTATCGCTATCGTAAGTATTCGTCGACGTTACATTATGAAGTTTAATGATAATGATAAATGATTTGTATCTGAAAAGTGTCTGATTATTTTCAATAACGAATTCTTTACCTCAACCAATTGAATCTCACAACATGATAAAGTCGAGAACATCATTGTCATTCATGTGTAGACAATCCTTTGTCGATTTCTCAAATGTTAACTACTGAAATATGTCAATTATAAACTAATTGAACAGTTTCCTTTTACCTTCACTTCAGATTTGTACAACATGGACATCCACACTTTGTTTCTAATGTTTTCATCACTTCACCTTATTTAACAACAAAGGATATCAATATTTATGAGCCTCGGCAGTTCGATGTGACATTACAGTGTGTACGGATGTGTGAAGCTTTCCTTCAACTTTTTCGACAATTCATATTCAGCAAGACAAAACTGACACAAAGAGCGACACTTTACGAAATAAGAAGTCTTTCAATAAAATCAATACAATTCGGGATGTATTCAAACCAAATATATTAGACACATGTTAGTTGAAATATATGTGATTGTACTTGAATATCTTTTTTCCACGTTATAAACTCAAAGTATTTTTTGTTTGTGTTTGTAGTAGAAATGAAAAGAACGATATTCAGGGAGTGATGTCATAATCTCGTTACACCCGGTATTTATCCAAAAGCAGACAATTCACTGCGTTACCATATGCAGCTGAGTCAGTGTATCCAACATGATACCCAAATAGAAGTGTATCCTGGAAAGCTGAAGAATGTGAGTGAATTTCGTGTATCCAGCCACCACCCTCACCCATCTAAGATCGAACGATGAAAATATCACAGAGTACGATTCGTTACATAAATTACATGAATCATGTTTATTCAAAATAAAATCTCATATTTTATTTGATTTTACAAAGTATAAAAAGCGTTATGACAAACAAGTTGACCGTTGTACCGAGAGAATTCTCTATGGATTCGAATTCCACGGTGAACATTCGATGGCAATTTCCACGTCGCCGATCAATAACTCGTGAGTTTTCTTTGAATACATCAATGCATGGTGTGCCAGGTATTGCTCGTGCAGAAACTCTTTCGAATAAAATCTTTTGGACGATTTTATTTGTCGGTTTTCTCGGAATTATGATCTTTTTCGTTATAAATGCCATTCGAGATTATTTTCAATATTCAACAAACATTGATTCGAGTTTTGAAAGCGAATGGCCACAATATTTTCCAGCAATATAACTGACACAACAATATTCTCACCAAGTCAAGTGGGATTTGTCTGGAACTTTATAGTTGATCGAATCAATAAGAACGAATCGGTAGAAGCAATTTGTTTTACGTTAGCATCGATGTTACGTACGTGTTCTTTCATGAAGAATACAACCAATGATTTTGATATACGACATAATAATCAATACGGTGGTTCTGGAATATTAAGTTTAGGTCTCTATCTTCATAGTTATCAATATTTACCTTATACGACGAACGGTAAGTATGGCTTGAATAGTACGATTCTCTTACAAATTTGATGTTTAGTCGTTGGTGCGGTCATTCTTGTACATGATAATAATCAACTTCCATCTATTGAGTCGTCTGGAGTCGAATTAGGACCAAGAAGAAGAGAACTGATCTTCTATCTTCACCGTATACAAACGTGTAGCTGTATCAATCCGTTTCTATGGAATGTTCGTATTATTGTTTTACCAGGAACGAATAAGACGATTGTCGCACCTCTTTGTGCTGCGAATAATCCATGTGCTTATCAAACGTTCTCTTCGTTAATCGAAGATTCATCGTTACTAATGGATTATTGTTCTGAATGTTCTCAAGATTGTTCATTGATAAATTTTCCCACTCAATTATCATCTTCTCAAGCATTTGTTGAAAATTCTTCTGTTCGATTACCTGCGAACTGGTCGACTTTGTCATACGACTATATTCAACAAAATTATCTGACGATCAACATTGTAACTGAGACCAATATTGTCGAAACCAATGCACAAACAGCAGCCATGGGTATTGTTGATGTTATATCAAATATCGGTGGTCAAACATGATTATGGATTGGAATTAGTTTTCTTTCCGTGATGGAATTCGTCGAAATGATTTACAAATTGTTTCGATGTCGGCGTCGTCAATAAATGATGAAACTATGACAGCAAAAATGCGAATATTATCCTCTCAACTAACATCTATCCGAAACGCGCTCATTATAATTATACGTAGTATCGGTATATTCTCGGCGGAGTACCGCACATATTAGTATCATTTTCCGTCACCCTCGCATCGTTATGCATCACTTTGTTAGATCGAGAAATTCGACAGACTATTCGAAGGGAAAGAGAACAGGTGTAGCTGCGAAATGCGCGAGTTGAAATAGTTGATACAAAACGACATTCTCTTTTCTAATCTAACCAGAGATAAAAAAAAACATTTCTTTTGTATTTATTTTAATTCTTTTTCTGTTGTTTTTCAAACATTTCATGATGAGAACCACACAGTATTTCATTACTTTTTTCGTTCAATTCTTCCTGATAAATTCGTCGGACATAGTTCCATTAGATGTTGGTGTTCATCTATTTGTCGATGAACAATACATCGAGAACATGACTTCGTTAGAATTTCAAAATGGACACATCGAAAAAGATCTTGATCATCCTCTTGTCTATCCTGAATATCCTTGGGAAGCAGCAGTACATTTTTACAATAGTTTTCTACAAGTTCCATCGAATTTGTCGACCACAGGTGCACCAATGTATATGATTTATTACGCATGTGTTGATTCTTCAGCAATAATTTACAATGACAACGTATCGGTTTGTGTCGCGAATAGTTCGGACGGAATTCATTGGGAGAAACCTTTGTTTTGGTATTATCCTTACACGGCCAATGGAACAAAACCAGCTCAAGCAACAAATATTGTTTTTACGACGAATGTCAATGAGTTTCTAGGAACAGTTTTTATTGATACACGTCCAGGAACTACACGTTCGGAAATCTTCAAAATGAGTTATGAAAACGAATTCGTTCGATACGTTTATGTAGCAACGTCAGAGGATGGCTTTCGGTGGAAAGCAGGAATTAAACCGGCACATCCACTTGCAGGTCTATCTGATACACAAACGGCTATGTTTTATTCTTCAGAAAATGGTGGACAATATGTTTTGTACGGGAGAGCAGATTGGTTCGTTCGAAACAGTTCGGTCTATTGTCCTGGTGCAAATCCTGCTTTTCGAAGAGTAATGGTGACAACATCGTCTGGAGATATTTATGGACCATGGACAATACCAATGGAAGCATTTGCATTAGGTGTTCCAGATCCTGTTCAATGTTTCGATAATTATAATCCTGCAGCTTTGTATTATTACGGTGTTTATTTTATTTTTCCTTCAGGTTATTGGCATTGGCCAGTGAATGACTCCGGTGCACCAATTCCACTTGCTGCCGCGAATGATGGTGTGATGGACATTCGACTAGCCATTAGTCGTACAGCACTTGGTCCATATAGATTTCCCACACGTGATCCATTTATTTCTCGCGGAATTGGTACAATTGATCCGAAAACCAAGTTAGTTAACGGTACGGGAAGTGACCGGGATGCTGGGTTTGTCTTTGCTTCGTCAAATGGATTGATGGATCCTGATTTCATTCGGTCAGATGTTGGCACACCATCAGCATGGATGTATCACATCTACTGGGGTTCGCAAACAACGCATGCAGGTGGTGGAACTGTTCTAGGTCGATACTGGCCTGGTGCATATTCAGGAATATTCAGAGCACGTTTACGCCGAGAAGGATATGTTGCATTGTCAACATTGGTATCAGAACCAACTGGTTTCGGAGAATTCATTTCGCAGATTCTTTCGTTACCTGTGAAGAAGAACGGCCAACAATTACTATTACATATCAATGCTGAAATTGCTACTGCTGGAGGCTTAGCTGTTCAATTTGAAGATGGATTGACAAGAAATCCTATTCCTGGATTTACATTTGATGAATGTAAAACACTGCACGGAAATGGAATACGACAATTACTAGAATGGAAGACTCGGAATGGAACATATTCGGGAGACTTAAATCCACTCATAGATTATCCTAATGGACTTCGAGTGCATTTACAAATGACACATACAAAACTTTACTCTTGGTTATTATCTTACGTTTAATGAAATTCCTTTCTTTTCTTAGATTTCATATGAGAGAAAAGTAATTTTTCTTTTGATTGATTTTAGATTGGAAGATGTTTCTACTTTCTCTATTTTTTGTTTCGATATCTATAATTATGGCCCGTGGAGAAATTTCCGATCCACTTCTTCCGTTAAATACTGGAGTTCATCTATTCGTTGATAATTATTACATTGAAAATTCCTCTTCATTACAATTTCAAAATGGTAAAATCGAAAAAGATCTCGATCATCCTCTCGTTCATCCTGAATATCCCTGGGAAAACGCAGTACACTTCTATACAAGTTTCTTACAAGTTCCCGCTGATCTTTCTATTCATGGAAAAGCAATGTATTTATTATACTACGCATGCGCTGCCTCCTATCAAGTTCTATTTAACAGCACTGTATCTGTATGTGTTGCAAATAGTACCGATGGAATCAATTGGCAAAAACCATTATTATGGTATTATCCATTTACAGCGAATGGAACGCAGTCAGCGCGTCCGACTAATATTGTGTTTGTGACGGAAACCAATGAATTTTTAGGTTCGATTTTTCTCGACCGTGGTAAACGAACTCCTCGTTTGGAAATCTTTAAAATGACTTATGAGAATTCACCGCAACGTTTCGTATACATTGGAACATCTCCTGATGGATTCAAATGGACAGCAGGAACAAAACCAGCTCATCCCAAAGCTGGTTTGTCCGATACCCAAACTGTGATGTTATATTCGGGAAATAATGGTGGAGAATACGTGTTATATGGTCGATATAATTCCGATGTAGCAAATACGAGTGTTTACTGTCCTGGATCTTGGTCTGATTATCGACACGCTGTTGTGACTCTATCGACTGAAAGTGCATTCGGTCCATGGACAGAATCTGTCGAAGCATTTCCACTTGGATCACCTGATCCAATTCAATGTTTTGACAATTATAATCCTGCTGCTTTATTTTACAATAATGTCTATTTTCTTTTCCCTTCAGGATATCTACATTGGGCACAATCAGATTCGGGTGCACCAATTCAGCGTGCTGCTCAGAATGATGGAGTAATGGACATTCGATTAGCTGTCAGTCATCTTGCACATGGTCCCTTTACTTTTCCAACACGAGATCCATTCATTTCTCGTGGAATCGGTACGGTTGATCCAAAATCAAAATTAGTCAATGGAACTGGTAGCGACCGAGACGCTGGATTCGTCTTCTCATCAGCAAATGGGTTATTAGATCCAGACTTCATACGATCGGATGTTGTTACACCTTCAGCATGGATGTATCACGTCTATTGGGGTTCCCAAACAACTCACGCGGGTGGCGGTGCGTTTCTAGGTCGGTATTGGCCCGATGCTTATTCAGGTATATTCAGAGCGCGTCTACGTCGGGAAGGGTATGTTTCTCTTGCAACACTAACATCTGACCCAACAGGTAAAGGTTGGTTCACTTCCAAAGTTTTGTCTTTACCTGAAAAGAAGGACGGTCAACAGTTACTATTGTATATCAATGCTGAAATTGCCACCGCAGGTTATTTAGCGATTCAATTTGAAGATGGATTGACAGGAAATCCTATTCCTGGATTTACATTCGACGAATGTAAAACACTACATGGAAATGGAATACGACAATTATTAGAATGGAAAACACAAAATGGAACATATTCAGCAGATTTGACTCCACTTGTAAATTATCCGAATGGAGTTCGATTTCATGTCCATGTTGGTCATACAAAACTTTACGCTTTTATTCTTTCATATGTCTAATTTAAATGTAATCATTTATTTACGAATTTTATAGAACTCTTAAAAGCAAATATAAAGATTTAATTCCATTGTTCTTCCGTATCGTCGTTGTAGAAAAAATGTTCGTCGTCATTCTCTTCTTCGTGGTACGAGTATTGATTTTGAACACACTGTTGACAGATACACTCATTTGATGAGCATGTATGAAGTGCAATTCGACATGGGTGAATTTGTTGATCACATATTTTACATTGATAATATTTATTCGAGCGAAATCCATTTTCATTGGCCAATTGGCAATTGTTTACTGATTTGTCGCATTTGGTACCCATCGGATTACCTTGATTGACGAATGCAAGAAGAAAAGCCACTTGTCCTTCGAGTCTCTCAACAGACTTTTTTAATTCTGCCTGTGTTGTTTGTGCTGAATTCAAATTTCCTTGAAGTTCTTCGATAATTGGTCGAACTTGTTGAAATGGACATTCCTTCATATGTGAAGATAATCGATCTCTCGGTCCTGACCAAGTACATTTGATATCAGCTGATGGACATGGAACAGTTCGTTTAATACAAACTTCTTCGTGATTTTCGAAATGACATCGTTGAATATTACTCTCTTGACAGATTAGACATCGAACAAGTAGACGATCGAGTTGATTGAGAACTATACGAGTGTTGATCGGAACAAATGAACATTGAAGCGGTGATTGCCAACGACCAATACCCATGCGAGGACAGCTATTAACTGTTGGCTGTCGACATGTTGGACATGTTTGTTGCTGACGAAGCCAAACTTCGATACAACCTTTGCAGAAAGTGTGGTTACATACTAGCAGGCTCACTGGTGATTGGAGCGGCTGTTTACAAATAATACATTTGAGTTCTTCATCAATCTGATTCTCATTCAGATATTCATAGTTCAGACTTTGAAAATTCGTCATGCTTGTTCATTCGTTTTCTTATGAAAACAAGTAGTTTGTAATTATATCTAATCGGCTTTGGGTTTTTTCCCAGTGCAAAAAAGTCTGAAATGAAATTAGGCAACATCGTTCTTTTGCGTTTGTTTGACTACGTGTTGTATCGTGAGAAGTGCGTACATGCAACACGACAGTCACTGTAATTTAAAAATTCGAATGACGAATTCAGTTTTCACCTCGAGGGAGGTCTTTTCGTAATCCAATCCGTAGCATTTTCTATTATACAGTGGTTTATCAAGTCATTTCCTGTATAATATTTATATTTATAAAAAAAACAAAGCATAGCAAGGCAACATCTATCGAGGTAAAACTAGCATGTCACTCGATCTCCTAAAATTTTCTTCAATTGGTGTGCTTCTTCGCAGCTGATAAGATTCTCCGTGAGATCTAATCTGAGTATCTGTAGACAAGAAAGAGCATGAATTTGGTTACAGTGAATAGGGATGAATCTTACCTTGTTTGCCCATAATGCATCACTAATATATTTCGCTCCTTCATTGCTGATTTGGTTCCATCTAAGGTCTAGTGTGGCGAGCGTCTATAAACGCGAAGAGAACGGGGATTTGTTAATTATGTGAACAGCCAATGAATACTACCGTGTTAGTTCGCAATGCATCACCAATATGTTCTGCCCCTATATGACTGATTCGATTCCACTTAAGTTCTAGCGTAGTGAGCACCTGTAGACAAAAGAGAAAACATGAATGTGCGTTCTATCAGGGACAAATTAAGTACTACCGTGTTGACTCGTAATATGCCACCGATATGTTGTGCACCCCGGTCGCCGATTTGGTTGTCGCTGAGATACAGTGTGGTGAGTGTCTACTGACGAGAGATAATATCGATATGTGAATATTAAATGAATATTACTGTATTGTTTTGCAACCCATCAGCAATATACTCAACTCCTTGGTGGTTGATTTTATTCTTGTTAAGATTTAGTGTAATGAGTGTCTTTACACGAGAGAGAACATGAGCGTGTGACTTCTATAGATGGTGAATAAATTTTACCGTATTAACTCGTAATGCATCCCCGATATGTTGTGCTCCTTCGTGATGAATTTGATTCTCGGCAAGGTATAGCGTGATGAGTGTCTGCAGATAAAGAAGAGCATGATTCCGTGGATTGATACCGAACAGTAATGAATTCTACCACGTTAGTTCGCAGTGCATCAGCAATATGCTGAGCTCCTTCATTATCAATTTGATTACAACTAAGATCTAGTATGGTGAGCGTCTGTAGATGAAAGAGAGAAAATAGGGATGTTTTGAGGAGATTTAGTGAATGTTACCATATTATTCCACAATGCGTTACCAATGTGCCGTGTACGTTGATCGCCGATTTGCTTGCCTCTGAGATATAGTTTGGTCAATGTCTATATCAAAAGTGCATATTCTGAAAACTTATGGGAATACTCTCATGAATAGACAGGCTATTGCATGATATAATGAAACGTGGAAGATCTATTATTTCACAAACTTACTTGATATCGATAATAAGTGTTGAGGATCTGATTGAAACGTCGACATACATTTTGCATTGAACAACACAGAGTTAAGTTATCCTCGAGATGATCCAGAATTCGATAAACAAGTTCAATCGGTAATATTAAAAATGGGCACGCATTACTTTTAGGCATTGTATGCGTAAGGCTCGAAATTAGAAACAATTGAATCTATTTTATTTGTTTTCGTAAACGATGTCCGGTATCAGTTAAATATTTTTACTGTTGACAACAGAAGAAGACGTAACTATTTTGATGACGAATCATTGTTTATTACTTGTAGAAAGAGGGCGTTAATATGTGTTTTATGAAATATATCTTGAGAGTGGATGAGAATAAATATAATGAAAGAAAATACCCTCACCTTTTGGTTTTACTGCATGGAAATAGTTTATTGGTGATTACATTGATGAAGGAAAAGAAAAGATTATCAGTTCTTTTTATAATAATCTGTAGTGACATGAAAAATCACTACTTTTCAAATGATCGTCTATTACAGAGCATCATCAATATCCGAAGAGACTAGAGAAAATGCGACCAACACCTTTAACAGCATTAACACCAGCACCAGCAACAGCACCTCCAACGCCACCAACCACACCAGCAGCGACGCTGGTAACACTGCCAGCTACACGAACAATGCCGGGAGCATCAATACATTCATAAGTTCGTTAAAAGGCTTGCTGAAAGTCGAAGTTCCGTTTGCAGCACCATCAAGAGTACCACGAACAACATTAACTGGAGCACCAACGACACTACCAACTACGCGTAAACCGTTTCCTTCTTCACCAGACATCTGAACCTAAAGTGTCGCATTACATAGACGAACTAATGTCTAAATGATTAGATATACTTACAATGAAAAGACAGACAGAAATGTTTTGGAAAGTAAGAATAATGAAAGAACGTGACATATTTATATCGTTGATACCAGTTCCTGACAATTAATCTTCCTTTGGATAAATCAGTGTATATTACTCATGCGCGTCATAATATATGATAGATAAGGTATATGGTTTTTTCCTTTCATATATCAACTACTAAAACGATGTGGGAAAGTGTGTCATAGTGGAATAATCCACATATGTTATGCGTCATTTGGTATTGTCCACTCGCATATATGCATATATCTATGTATATTCTCCCGTGTTCTCTCTCTCTCTCTTTCTTTCTCTGTTGATATTATTTTCTTCTTGAAATAAAGATACTTTCTCAAAATCTTTCATTTCTTATCAAGACGTGATAGAAAGAAATAGATGATATCATTATATTTCTGTAATTTTAAATAGTGCATATTATAAGATGATAACGTAGTTATATCAATTGAAAAGACAAAGCTTTGATGGAATTTCGCATTATTTCTCATGAGCTTGTGGTGTACATCGGGCAATTGCTTCGATCAGATCATTCACAAGTAAAAGTAATGAATCCAAACGAAAATTGTATGCTGCATGTATGGCTTTGAAAACGATAACATCTTCATCCCGAAGACGTCCACCGGATCAACTTCACTTCTATTTCGTTCAATAGCTGCTTGAGCACACATTTTGTTAACGTGAGAAAAGAAAAATATACTCTTACTGTCCGCAGTAATTGTTCGTTGATTTGATGAAAGAATAAACATATATTTATTATGCCGAAAGTTACAGAATGAGAAAAAAACGGATTACTCATGTGCTGACAATTACACACAGTGAGGAATTATTTAGCGGATATAAGACATAGAGAAAATCAGGCAAAGAATAAAAGACAACATTATGTGTCAGGAGACCATCATTCTCAAATGATTTTCGACGATGATAACAATTGAATATGACTCGATACATCGTTGAGAAATACGTGCAGTGATGACGATAGTACCCAAGCAGACCAGCGTTGAATTACTTGATCAACAGAAAATAGAGATTGAAATTGAAAGAGAGATAAAGTTTCTGTATAGAAGTCTTTTATTACAGTTGAAAGCGCATTTAGATTTCAATGGAATATTTTCCTTTCTCTTCATATTTTTTCATAATAAAAAGTGTATTCAGCGTTTTTCTTTGAGGAAGGAACAAATAAAATTACTTTATAGTGAGTAAAGGATGTTTTCTCTGAAAGAACATTTTGATGTCATTTACGTTGCCTGTTGCCTATTTATAAGTGACAGCAAACATTGAATCGATGACTCTCTGTCCTTCATATTTGTTCCTACATTTTTTATTCGTACAAAATGTACGAGCGGGATGGCCATTGCAGAACTCTTCCGCAATCCAATTATTGGGTCTTTTCCCGGATGCAAATAATTCAACAGAAACGAGTGAATTATCCATTCACTCACGTGCAATGTTTCAATCTGCGATATTACTCGCACAAAAATATAACATAACGATTAACGATCAATATATTTCATGGCAATCCGAACAAACAGGTGGAAAAGTTATGAACGCTCTTCGTTATACATGTCAAGCCCTTTCTTCGTCTACAATTGCTGGTATTGTTGGTCCCGCATCTTCCAACGAAGCTGAACAAATCGCTAATTTTGGTTCAACAATTGGTTTACCTGTCATATCCTATTCTGCCACAGATTCTCAATTATCAAATCGAAATGCGTATCCAACATTTTATCGTACAGTTCCATCGGATGATACAACAGCTATGGTTATTGCTGAGCTATTTCTGCAATATAATTGGACGAATTGCATAGTCGTGTATCAAAATGATCCATTTGGAATCGATGGTGTTGATCGTTTAAGCGCAGTATTTGTCAGTCATGGTTTACAAATTGGCAGGTTAATTGAATTTGACATTTCTACAAATGAAATTCAAGGTAATCTGAAAGATTATCTAATGAACAGTCCAACACGAATCGTTCTGGTTTGGGCAGATGAATCTTCGACATCTTATATTATTCAAATTGCTCTCAATCACAATGTTCTCGGTCCGAAATTTCTTTGGATTTTAACTTCAACTTTTCCTCTCACATCTTTTCATCAAAATTCTTATGAAAACTTAATTGGAATAATCACAATAGAACTCGTCACTGGAAATATTCTTGATGAACTGATTAATTCAACGTTATTAAATTCAGCATATGACATTTGGAAACAAAACGAACCGGAGACTTTCCCTCTGTCAATGCAAAAAATCAATCCTCATGCATTATTTGCCTTTGATGCTACGTGGATCCTGATTGAATCTTTACGAAAACTCTGTTCAATGATTGAACCTCCATGTCTAATATTCAATAATTCGTCACTTTGTTTCGATCGTTTGTTTCTTCATTCGGATCAGCTATTAAATACAATTAATTCCATCGAATTTCTTGGCGTTTCAGGTCTCATTCGATTTCATGCAAACACCACTGATCGAGTCAATGGATCGTATTATTACGTACAAAATCTTCAATTAATCTCAAATAACCTCAATTTTATTCCTGTTTTACAATATTCTGACAATTGGCAAAGATATTCCGAAGCAAATGTTATCCGTTGGCCAGGAAATTCGTTACAACCTCCTACCGGCCAAGCTTCACTCGAAGGTATTACTTTACGCATTGGTGTTATTGAAGCACCCGTATTTACAATAGTTAATGATCGGACAACAATGAATTTAACTGGATACGTAATTGATTTAATCGAACTTTTACGAACTGAAATGAATTTTATTGCCGATATTCAATTAGCGTCAGTGAATCAAACATATTCGGGATTAATTCAAGCCGTTGCCAATGGAGTTTATGATATCGTTGTTGGTGATGTGACAGTGAGTTCAGGACGAAGGAAAATTGTCGATTTCTCTAATTCAATATTTGATAATTCTCTTCGATTGATGGTTCGAAAGGTGTACACAAATGCACCTGATCCATTAGCATTTTTAAAACCATTTTCATTCAATCTATGGATCACATTTTTGTTTGTTTGGATCTTTGCAAGTCTTTTGTTTTGTTTCGTTGAACGAGAAACCAACGATATGTTACAAAACCGATCGTTCTTATCGCAAGTAGCAATGAGTTTATGGTACACTATTGGTCATTGTATTGGACATGGAGTTGATTTTCATGTCAGTACTCCATCTGGACGTTTGTTAACTGTTGGTTTGTATATGTTAAGTTTAGTATTAATTGCATCATATACAGCGAATTTAGCATCGGATTTAACAATAATGAAAAGTCAAAGTGTTCTGTCAGGAATTGATGATCTGAAAAATGGAAAAATTCCAGCGAATCGTATCGGAATTCGTGTTGGTACAGCTGCGGTTGATTATTATTTAAAAGAAATCTCCAATGGCAATGCGAATTACTATCCACTGTATTCATTACAACAAGGATATGACGATTTATTAGCGAATACGATCGATGTGCTGTTTACAGATATTGGAGTTGGAGAATATATAACAGATAATATTTACTGTAATTTAACTTTGGTTGGAAATGAATTCGATACAGGTACTTTTGGAATTGTTTTAGCAAAAGATTGGATTTATACAGAACAATTCGATGTGACGATTTTATCTTTGGGAGAAACGGGTTTGTTGGATAATCTGAAAATGAAATGGTTTCAAACTTCAATTTGTCCTGATACGACAGATACACCAACTACAATTGAAGTTCAATCAGTAAGTGGATTATTTGCTGCTTTTGCTGTTGTGGTCGTTCTATCGTTAATCTTATTTGCATGGAGAAAACGACATGTTTTGAAAAATTGTTCAAATTTATCAAATCAATTCGTATTCCGAAAAAGAACCTATGATCTAAATCAATCGAATTCATCATCCAATCATCAGCAAAATCAAAATACATTGGCATTGTCCGCTATGTAGTACAAATTCGGTGAAGCGTTTTTTTTTCTCTCGTATTATCTTGTAAATTCGAATGTTTATAAAGACAAATAAAGAGAGGAAGTGTACAATGATTTTAAAAAATAATAAAAACAGTGTATTTTCATGGTCAACAGCTTTCTGTGATAAAAAGTGTCTCATCAACTATTGCACCTTTTCTTCATCGTATTCAACGACTACTCGATGTAGAAATTCCTCAGGATATTTTATGAACCTTCTGCACTTCCTTCTTCATCGTCTCCAAATCACTACTAGGGTAGGGAGTTATTACAAACGCCACGTGTATATTCGACAGGAAAGACGACAACAAACCTGTATAGAGTACACGTATAACTTACAACACAACTAGCAATTAGAAATAATACGACGCATCATCGGTAATTGCATCAGAAAAACATAGTGTGTGTCATTCACACATCCGTTATGATCTATCGATTGGAAAAAACACAATACCAAATCATTGAACTGTAGCAATGCTTAGGGTATATATTTAACTTTAATCTTGTAGTCTTCTAAAATATAATTTTATATTGTATACATATCACTCAAGAAATACATAAATGGAAGAAACTCTAATCGTAGGACCAATTTCTGCTGGAATGCTTGTGACAATTGGAAAAGTTACAGTTGGTGGTATTTACCAGTTAGCAAAGCAAATACATCAAACTATGGAAAATTATGAATTAAATGAAGAATATTGTACCGAGTTGAACGATCATGTTTATGAAGTTGTGAATTGTTTGAAGTCAATTCCATACAATCGTCTGAATCATGAAAGTTTTCGACAACCAATATCAAATTTACACGCTTGCTTTGGAGAATGTTGGAACCTGACCAGTGAATATAGTGAAATAACATCTATTGAGCGATTTCTTCGAGCTAGTCACTATCAACGTCTATTCGAAAAATTGAAGACACAATTAGTTGATTATAAAGACCGTTTGACATTTGCTATGAATGTTCAAAATTTCGTGATCACAACGTCATCTCATGTTCGTAGAAACACTCGACCACAGCGAGGTGGTAATACTTATGGATACATGCCACAGACAACTTATGTAAGTGAATGAAAAAGTTCATTTCTAATTTAGAGTAAAGTGGGGCAACTGGATATGTTTTTTTGAAAACTTTTTTTCTTTTCCCTGTAACTTTTTCAAATCTGGATATTTTTTTCTGAAACTTAACAGATAGATAGAGTGGATGCCGCTCTATTTATCTATGCAAAAATCACCTGATTTTGACTTACAGGTACGTATTTTCACCTGCCTTTCCAATTGCCCCGCGATTGGTTTTCCCATAGCCCCACATGGGGTAATTGGATAAATATTCTGAAGAAACAGGGAAATTGGATAAACCCATGTATTTTACTTGTAGTAACTAAAATGAACTTTTCTGATTAATTAAAAAAGATTAATTCACTTTTTTTTCATGAATCTATAGAATAGATCATTATCTACAGTTGCAAACTATTTTTCATTAAAAAAAAATTCTTTTAATATCTCTTGTTTGGGTATAATTGATCAAAAGATTATTCAAAAAAGTTTCCAATTGCCCCAAATGGGGCAATTGCATATATAGTGGCACATTGTGGGGTAATTGGATAAATACGTCAAAAACAGCTGGAAACAAAGTTTTTTTCCCGACAAGTTTTTTTTGACAACAGAAACATCTAGCGGAAAAACTTTTTTACAAACTATACCTAAAATTTAATTCTGAACAATCGTAGACGTATACCAGCTCATTCACTATCAATCTCGACAATTTTTCTTTGAAGAATTAAAGCAATTCTTTCTATTTCACATCAAATATTCGTATGTTTATTGTATTTCGAGAAAGATCTTTCTGTCGCCGATATTTTCTCGTTTTGAAAAGTTATAGCTGCTGTGTGTTTGCATGCTGTGTACAACGCATTGCTTTTCGAACAAGTCAGACTAGGCAGTATGATACTTAGAAATGTAGAAAGTAATTTAGACTATGCCGAGAAAAAATTTGAATAGAAGAAAAACAGTTGGATCGTTTATGATTTGCCTGATTGTGATCTTATATGAAATAATGGTTAGAAATTACAAACGAAAAACACCTAAACCAGGATACACGGAACAACAATTAGTTGCTGCTATTGAGAAAATCAATGCAAAGGAATGGACTTATGAGAAAGCTTCAACGGAAACTGGTATTCCTCTTGGTACATTAGCTTCTCGAATATCTCGAAATTCAACCGAACTTGTTGGTCGTCCGACAGCTTTAACAAGATCTGAAGAAGAAAATTTAGTCGGCTTAATCATTACTTTAGAAAATTATGGCGAACTATCGACAGGTGATGATGTTTTGAAATACGCTGCAGAATATGTCGATATCATGAATCTTAATGCTCGATTTAAAAATGGTCAACCAACACGTGATTGGTATTATACCTTTTTAAAAAGATGGAAAAGTAAATTGAAAATAATGAAAAGTGCTGTATTAGAAAAAGCACGGGCTGATGTTACGATGAGCACTGTTGATAGTTGGTTTGCTAAATTGTATTCTGTTTTACTGAAATATGATTTATTCAACAAACCCGAACAAATTTTTAACTGCGATGAAAGTGGCTTTCGCGATGATCCCGGAACAAAGAAAGTAGTTGTTAGTAGGAATACCAAGTATGCGGAAAAGTAAGTCAATGATGACCATGTTTGATATCTATTTGATGATTGAAATACACCATGTATATTTAGAGTAATTTCTGGTACTGGTAAAGACAGTACAACTGTTTTATTGACAATTAGCGCAAGTGGTACTTGTTTTCCACCCTATGTGGTGTATAAATCCAAGTGTTTATATGATACGTGGTGTCCTCGAAATGTTATTCGTGGAGCATTCTTTAATCGAACTGAAAGTGGTTGGATCAATGAGGATACATTTTTCGATTATTTGAAAAATATGTTTATTCCTAATACTCAACATATTCGACGTCCTTTGTTATTAATTTTTGATGGTCATACGTCTCATTTATCCTTGAAAACAGCACGATTAGCAATGGAGAATAAAATCCATCTTTTATGTCTTCCTGCCCATGCTACACATTTACTTCAACCTTTGGATGTTTACACATTGAAGTATGTCAAAGCACAGTGGAGAGAGCTACTTTGGGATTACAATAATAAAAATCGTTTGAAAAAATTAGATAAACCAGATTTTATTCGTTTATATAGTCGTTTGTATGACTATGCATTATTACCAGCACATTGTTCATCTGCTTTTGGAAAAGCAGGGATAATTCCATTCGATCCTCGTGTTGTCAAACGTAGTCGGTTGTTAAGAAAATCATCGTCAGCAGCAGCAGTAGCAACAAATGCATTACCACGTTCTCGATCAGTTGAATTTGATTATAATGATAATCAATTACCAACAACCATTACAAATCCAACACCAACATCGTATTCGAATCGAACACGATTAGTTAAATATCCATCAGATCCATCTCTTTTTTCTGGTAAGTGAAGAGATATGAAAAACTTTTATTTTATTTCTCGCATTGTAGGAAATGGTGATGTTGACAAAATTTCGAAACAAGGAACGTTATCCGATGAATTACGAGATGCAATCAGTTCTCTTAATAATGCAATTGAATCCCTTGATTCAATTGTATCACCAACACCAAGTAATTCTGAATCATTTCCACAACGAACAAATGATGATTCTTCAAATTTACCTACGTCCACCACGTTTGATCATTCTTCGATTTCATCAATATCAAATGTAAATAACATTCGATTAATTACGTCAACACCTATTGCAACTAATCCAACAGTTCCACGTGTACCAATCTCAAATGATACACCAGTTATACCTTTATCAAGTACAAACAATTTATTAGCTAAATCAATATCGGGCCTCAATATTAGTTCATCGACTTCTTTCACATCCACGGGTAATTCTGTATATTTTCATGATACTGCAACATTTAAAATGATTCATTTATATTTAGAAAATGACCGTTCACTAAGTGCAATTAATAAAATTGTCGAAAACCACTATTCTAAACAGGCCTCAACCGGTAGAAGAGGTAGGAAACGCGTTATTCCTACAACATGTGGTAGAAGTGTAACAGATATTGATGAACTTGCACTAGCAACGATTAAAAAGCGAAAAATTACTGAAAATAAAGCTGCTAAAAAAGCTAGTTCGAAAAAAGCTACGAATGCACAAACACAATCTACATTATCAACTGCATCTAGCGAAAGTACATCTAATCTAAATACAATCAATATAGCAGCAGCAAGTATGCAAAATATGTCATTACCACCTATCACGTATATGTTGCCATCAAATGCCTCGCAAATGATGCCATCATTTCAATCGAATGTTACAGCATACACTCAATTACAAAATGTATCACCAATGTCTTCAGCTCAATGTCAATTATGTTTTAATTTTACTCAACCGTTAGAGATTACTTCTAATTGTAATCAATGTAACAAAATTCTCTGTCAGACCTGCAGTAGCAAAATTGAATCCAATAACTATCAACTTTGTCATCATTGTCAATCATATTATATTGCACAGCAACACCCTTATTACACTTACAGCCAACTATGATGCATTCTACAAGTTTCTTTCGACAATTATCAAACGTCTTTAGTGAACTCATCTCATTTGTTATTAATATCCATGCCGAACGTAAGCCTACTCTACATCCTTATTTTTTTTACTTCAGTTTCACTTATCATTGCTGCCTACGGGCTTCCTTACACTCAACTTCTTCATCGCTTGTTGCATATTTTTTTGTTTTAACAGATGAAATTTTGCAATAGAATTTAAGTTGGTGTATGTTTGTTAAAATGGTTTTGGTTGTACGAGCATTGACTAAGCTACAGA